ATTTACACTGGCTGTCAGCTGGGGAGAGGTGAGGGAGATGAATGAGGAATAGAGTTCACAAAGTGCTGGACCTGATTGACTTGGAGAGTTCATAATTCGAGAAACATCCAATTCTTCATCATCTCCATCTTCTTCTTCTTCTCTCCTCGGAGCTGCACTCTGTCGTTAAATCGCCGCAGCTTTTTTTCGCGTTTATCATGGTCACACAGACTAGTGCTGGTGCTGCTGCCTCCACATGCTGCAGAGTCTGTTCCTCTTCGACCTGGAGGAGTTTCCAGAGAGCTGCTTTACTTTTAATGCTGAACCACTCTGAAGCATCAAAATCCATCAAGAAATTTGTTCGACAGTGTTCGATTATTTACGAGTCGATTTGTCTGTTTGTTTGTTTATTCACAAACATTTTAACTTGTGAGATAAAAATGAAAAATCCTGCATTTTTCTACTAAAGATAATGGGTACGATTTTTGTCGAGATACACACTTACACACTGATCATGCAATTTCATGTCATGGTGAATTTGACTTAATGTTTTTTAATTAATCGTTTGCCCTTTGTCACATTTTCTAAATATGTCCAGGATCTAGCCCAATTTTGCCATATTAGGCCTATTCTTCTCAATGCACATTTCAGTTCATGAAAAAGGTCAATCCCATGACATGGTGGTCGATTTTGCATGGGATTACTCCTTTTAACAGCGTCGTGCTGATAATATGAATAATAATGATAATGACAATAACATGCATGGTCTGGAGCGTTTGGATTAATGTAGCATAAACTGACTACACTGAGCTGACTTTCACACACTCACCCACCTGCCAAGTCTGCACGCGGACCTTCTAAAGAGACCTGCAGCGCGTGAAGGCATCCAAACGATCACGAGGTGTTGATACTTGCGCTCGCGGAGACCTGATTGCGCTGATTGCAACATAAGAGGAGATATTATGCATCATTATGGAGATTTCAGGCTGGACTCACACATGCGTTTTACTTTCACTCCTTTCTTTCTCTCTTATGTGCATCATAAAGTCGACTAATGATCGACTTTAGGTCATCAGAAGTCTTGCTCGAATTATTGCACCAAAGGCTCTGCGCGTCAGGCTCTGCAGACTTTGTGAGCAACATTTTTTGTGTGTTGTCGCATCACTTCCAAGTAAATGTGATCATTAAGACAAGCGTTTACTCACATGAGTGACCGTCCTCAGATGAAAGTCTCTGACTTTGCAACAAGTACAAACATTTAGTTTAACAAATGCCTTCAGACACCGTGTCTGTCTTTTATGTCTTTACAGTCTATATTGACAGAGCTCGCATGAAAAGGGTTAAGACAACTTTCCAAGGAGGCAACAATGGGCCTTTGTGCGGAGTCCCTGCCTCTTGACTGCGAATCAAAGCAGTTCATAAAGTGAAATAAAGGCCCGATGAGCCCTACAGTTGTTTTGTATTTCGGCTCGGCCCTCATTTGTTGCCTCGGGATTGAAATGAAACGGTATGGTAATCGTCTTCTCCATGGTATATCTGTCTTCTTGGGATGCTGATTTTCACAGACTTTGTCTTTCAAGATCACTGTCTCTTTAGCTCACGAGATTTTTTAAAAAGTGTTAACAGAACCTGTTACAAGCAGGTTCAACATGTTCATCTGCAGAGCTCATTCATAATTATATAATCATTTTAAGCTGAGGAAGAGGTGTTGGACCGGGCACGTTTAGATCAAACTCAGTCAAGTAAAATGACCTGCAAGAACAGAGACACAACACAGACAACAAAGAGAGAACTATCCTAATCACGAACCTGCAGATTTTAAAGGTTACATTTGCAAAGACTTGATTTATAACTTTCTCAACAAGTCACCATGAGAAAATTAGCACTCCACGCTGCTGTTGCTGCACCTCATACCAAGCAGTGCGCGCTAATGCGTCGCATGTGTGCCTGTTTGTGTTTACGCAGACTCGTTTAACGAGTTGGGGTTGAAGTCGGGAGTTTGAGGTGGAGGAGGACAGGTTAAGTGTTTGAGCCCCGAGCAGAGGGGACTTCAGACGGACGCGGCAGCCCGGAGTCTCTCCGGTGACTTCAAAGCTTTCACAGCAATACCGCTTAGTCGAGGTTTAAGTGTTTCCAAACAGGCTGCAGCTGAAAGCGATACACACACACACACACACACACACACACACACAGAGACAGAGAGAGAGAGAGAGAGAGAGAGAGAGAGAGAGGAAGGGATGCAGAGGAAACGATGAATTAAGACTCGTTTGTTAAGTTTTTATTAACCGAGTGGAGGCAGGTAACTACTTTAACAGGAACACCTGTGGCTGCATTTGAATATGAAAGTGACTTCAACCTGAAGTCACTCCTGGCCTGACCTTCAATACAATCAAAGGCAGGACTTAAAAGAGTATGTCCTGTTGTTTTAGCAAAGTAATTTAAACATTTATCAGGAGACAGAGAGAAAGAGAGAGACTATTCAAGCCTCATTTAAGTCATAGGCCTTATTGTAGAGTAAGCCTCTCATTAGCAAATCATTGACCTTAAAATGACCATGAAAATGGTTCAGGGTAGAAAAAATCTTCAAACAAACATTAAAAATATGATTTTTCACTAAAAACAACATGACATACTCTAGTTGATTTGATCTATTTGTAAAGGACTAGCTCTTCCTTTATAGGGTTGGGAAATACGTGATAGATACAGATATTTGTATGCATTAAAAATAATATCGGGATACAAGATCAATGTTACAAGCACCACTGTGAAGAGTCACTGGAAATCGACATAAAGTGTTATATTATTGTTTCTGTTATACTACATTTGATAGCATTGAAATCATAACTGCATTTGTCAAATTGATGTTATATTGCCATATCAGACATAATTCAAGCCCCATTTATGGTAACCTAAATCACACCTTCTAAAGTCATCGGCCTAGTCTCTCAATAGCAAACTATTGACCTTAAAATGACCATGAAAAAAATGTTACAGGGTAGAAAAAAATCTTCAAACAACCATTAAAAATATGAACTTTGACTAAATGCAACATGACATACTCTAGTTTGATTTGATCCATTTGTAAAGGACTAGCTCTTCCTTTATAGGGTTGGGAATTACATGGTAGATACAGATATTTGTATGCATTAACAATAATATCGAGATACAAGCATCACTGTGAAGAGTCACTGAAGCGTTGCAGGAAAATCAACATAAAGTGTTATATTATTGTTGTTGTTATTCTACATTTGTTTGCAGTGGTATTGGCATATCAGACACAATTCAAGCCCCATTTATGGCAGTCTACATCATACCCTCTAAAGTCATAGGCTTTATTGTAGAGTCAACCTCTCATTAGCAAACTATTGACCTTAAAATGACCATGAAAACATGTTACAGGGTAAAATAGTCACCTTCCTTTAATGTTAATTGCAAACAACCATTAACATTTTGAACTTTGACTAAATACAACATGACATACTGTAGTTTGATTTGATCCATTTGTAAAGGACTATCTCTTCTTACAGGGATGGGAATTACATGATAGATCCAGATATATATTAACAATATTGATACAACATGGAGTGTTCTATTATTGTTTACTCATATTTGATAGCAGCAGTCTCATAACTGCATTTGTCAAACTGATGTTAAATTGCCATATCAGTATTTTATCTCACCCCTTCTGCCTAGAGTGATGGCATGCAGTGGGACAGAGGAGGGATAACTGGTTTGAAGTCTTAGATCTTCCACTCAGTCCCTCACAGTCAGCACATTAAACACCTCCACAGACAGAGATCTAATGAGTATCTTGGGAAACACTCACACCCAGGAATCCCTTTGAGCAACTAGTGGGCGCTGACCTTTCCTCCTGAGGACTGTTACACCAACCGTAGCAGCGCTCATTTGAATAGATGGAAATGGCGTGCGATCGGCTGAGAAAAAGCATTTTTTTTTCAGGCTGAATGGCTCAGTGTCCCTGGGCTAGGGCGGGTAAAGAGAGGGAGGAGGCGGTGCCGCGCTCGCGGTGCGGGTTCAACTCCCTCAATAGTCTCGAGCGCTTTGATCCGCGCGCTGCTGGCGCCTAAAAACAACATAACTTGTCTGCCCATTAAGGAGACTGACAAATCGTGACAGATTGTTTATGCTTGGCAATTAGTGCCGCAGACACTTTTTCATGAGAACTGACTGCACGGCAAAAAGGTGATCTCTCTGTCTGCAGACTTTCTGACACAAGTTTTATAAGCTTATACAACTGTTTCTTCAATGAAACCTTCCTTTAAGAAAACTTAACCCAAGAATACATTCTTGCAATAAAAAAACAACAACTAAAATCTCCATTAACTGTCTGCGGATACTGAGAAGCTTCGTGGGGCAAAACCAGGTAAACAAATGACAGTCCTGGGTTCAATCTCACCCTGGCTCCAAGCTGCCCTCTCCCCCCCTCTTCTCCCCTCTTCCCCTCAGACTCCACATCATTTTTGACTTTAATGGATGTAGTCAAAGAGGGAAAACTCTGGTGATCCCTCCTCCCACGAAAAGCCCGATAATTACCCCTAAATGACTGCAAAGGCCGTCGTGTTTCAATCTGATTAGAGCCCTGCAGCCATCAATAAACATAAAGGAGGATGTTAAAGTGCTAAGCAAAGTTTCAAGGGATCCCTTTTGGAGATTAAGAACATAGCCAAAGTGATCCATGATACTGATCAATAAGGGTAAAGCATGTCAAAATGTAGAGAGTCAGAACGTTATCAAATGTTGAGGGGTGATAAGAGAAATAGTCTCATAACGAAAGAAGGCCAGATTTGGGGTATATAAATGAAATATATAAGTTTTATAAGACCCTGGTTCCTTCCGGGTCTGTTTTGTTTTTATTTATCTGATGTAACTTGAAAAAAAGGAAATGCTGCTAACTTTCCCACTGTGACTTTTTTGTGTCTGCACGAACACGCCCATCTTCCCCCATTGGCCGCCTCCCCCTACACGCCTGCCTTATTACAGCCCTGCGCTCCAATCTGGTCACATAAACATGAGGATACCGTCTCATTAGGGTTACACCGCTCCAACTTTGTGTAACTCTTACCTACCCACGAGAGTCAACGCATCACCTCACCCGTGCCAGTCGGACCTGTATGGCCCCATCGATCGCCATGTCAGCTCTGACTGCTGCCCTGAAAACTGAAGATCTTCCTCCACGCGCGGTTCTCGTCAGCAGAGGCGACATGCAGACCAGTCTGAGCCCCACAGAGGACACTGTGAAGCCCAAAGTTGCTATTTTGCCCTTCAGTGTGGAGGCGCTGATGGCTGATAGGAAACCTAACAGAGAGGTACCATCCGCGGATGGCACCACGTCAGTTCCCGGGACGTCCCAAGCCCTGGGGAAGAGCGCGAGAATGGGCTCGTTCGGTAGTCTGGATACTTCGGTTCCAGCTTTAGCCATGGGCTCGTCGTTCTCAGTGGGGGACATCATGAACATGCCTGAAGACGTGTTGATTAAACCCGAGAGTCCGGACAGTAAAGACAGGACCGCGTGGATGCAGAGCCCTCGGTTTTCTCCAACACCTCCACGTAAGTTTGGCTTCTTCACTATTAAACCCCTAGAATGTGAGAGATAAGTGTTCTCACGAGGGTTTTCTCTTAAAAGTTTTATTTCCACTAGTGTGGTTAGGGTTTCTTTCCCTTGAGAGCCGTTTGAAAACGTTTTCATGAAGTGGTGTGGGTCTGGCATTACGCATGCGATCCGAATGTCTAAATACGAGTGTCTGTCCTCTCACAGGCAGATTGAGCCCCCCAGCCTGTCCTCTAAGAAAACACAAGACAAACAGGAAACCCCGGACCCCCTTTACAACGTCCCAGCTGCTGGCTCTGGAGAGAAAGTTCCGTCAAAAGCAGTACCTCTCCATCGCCGAGCGCGCGGAGTTCTCCAGCTCCCTCAACCTGACGGAGACTCAGGTCAAGATCTGGTTTCAGAACAGGAGGGCCAAAGCCAAGCGGCTGCAGGAGGCAGAACTTGAAAAACTGAAAATGGCAGCTAAGCCCATGTTGCCTCCAGCTTTCGGGATTTCCTTTCCCCTCGGTGCGCACGTGCCCGCGTCTTACGCGGGGTCGCATCCTTTCCAGAGACACTCACTGCCGGTTTCCCCCGTGGGACTGTACGCGGCTCACGTCGGATACAGTATGTACCACCTCGCCTGACAAGGGCCCAGGACCGGGGGCACGTGCAGTTAGACACGAGGGCTTTTTTCAGACTACTTTCTGAGGGGTCCTAGGTGAAAGGTGATGTGACTTTTTATTAAATAAAGAGGCATCCTGGTGGTGAGCTCAGTGTCACATCTTTTCAGGGGCCAAGACCTTCAAACAGATCCCCTGCTGAGGACCCTGAAGTATATCCACCTCCCCTGACCTCGCCAACAAGTTCACACACTGCAAAAATAATCCAACCATAGAACTCAGTCCATCTATAGAGTCTTGACTCCTTTTTGTCGGAGGACTTTGAAATAATAATCACTCAAGAACTTGTCGGTGCCATAAAACTGAAATCACCCAGAGTGTGTGAATAAATAACTTGAAGGTGGCCATGTTTGTAGCGCAGGGACAGAAAAATACCGGGAGGCCTTTTTTTTTCTCCACAAAAACATAATGGACCTTCGGCTACCAGAGTGTCAACAGTCTTCAACCTTCATGGCTGCATCAAGCAGGTAAAAAAAAGGCTGTCATACCAATGTTACAGCTGTAAATCAGACTCTTGCTCAGCTTGACATTTTGGTTGTGCTGCTTTTTTTTGCGAGAGCGCACACTTTCCATTTCTTTTGCATACAAATCAAAGCGCTCCCAGTGTGGGTAACTGAATCCAATGTCATTTAATGCTCTTTGTGAATTTGGAGAACCACAGCATTTGTTTTTTTTTTATAACAGCACTGTCTGTTGTTGGAATGATTCCCTTCGGAAGGGATATGTGTACTGTAAAATAATGTATATTTGAAGAATATACTCATTTATATTATGAATATATTTGTGACATAACTTAATAAATTGATTATTCTTTTTTCATGAAGCACTTGTTCGTTTTGACTGACACTGTCACGTACACCAAAATTTAGATTCTGATTGTTATATAAGAGAGTAATTTTATTTAGAGCTTAAAGACGATACCTATTGTTTTAACCCTTAAAGATTTAGGCCTGTCTTCCAATATACAACATTTGAAAGAGAAGGTTAATTTGGAAAAAAAGGCAGTTTTTTTTCAAGGCTTTAAACTCTCAAGGGACACAACGAAACTTATTCTAGCAAGTTTAATACTAATTATGTTGAAATATCGTCCTTTCTCAGTGCTCTGTGGGACGAACACCATCATAACACTGGGTAAATAACACAGAATTTGCTTTACTTGTGCTCTTTTTCTCCGTATAGTCTTTACGCAGGATGCTTGGTTTGCACCCTGAATTTCAACTTGTCACATGTTATTTGCAGGAATGTTATGCTACAGCTGTTGCCTATTGAAACAACTAACCTAGATTTTGTCGGCGCCAGCAGAGTTTAGTGGGTGGAGGAGATGATGGTGGGGGACAACCAGTTGTGCTGACTTAAAAACACACCGATAAATATTGGAGATTGCCTCTCAGGGCTAAATTGCCTGTAAACAATCCAGCAGAGTGTCATTATGGAGCGTTCAGGGTGTAAAATGAGCCAGGTGACACCCTATTTTGAAGAAGACAGGGTAACATAAACATATAACCTTACTGTGGCACATAAAGCAGCATTTTATCCTTCTGGTCATTTTGTGTCATCAGGAAGACTTAGCTGACAAAACAGGGATCAGATGTGGGGAAATTACAGAGCACTTTGCAGCACTTTTAAAGGCTTTCTCTGCAGCTCTGCGCCTTTCAGTCAGGGGTTAAACTGGAGTAAAATAATTGCTGTAATGAGCAAAGGCAATCTGCCACAGACGGAGGCCGGCTCCAGCGAGGCTGTAGCTCCAGGCAAGGCGGAACTTTTATCATTCCTAAAATGTCAACGGGGGACTGGGACGGGCAACACTTCTGCGCGCTGTGCTGTGCGCACCGATTTCCTGCTGCTCAGCGCTGACAAGCTGTTGTCCAAAAAAGACTGTTTCAGATCTGTTTTCTCCCAATCTGTTCAGCAGATTAAAACCCACCACCTCTGTTAAATCACGACAAACTCAGCGCGTTTTCATAGACTTTACACTGATTCAAGCCCCCTCCATTTTATATATTCTGTGCGTATTTCTCCGACAAAATCCACCCCGATTCACCCACGAGGCATGAATCATCACAGACTCCCTGACAATACGCTGAAATCACACGGGTGAGCGCTCCGCCTGAAAAGAATAGAAACTTGACACAAAAGCACCAAAGGGGATCCGTCCTTTCTTTACCATTCTCAGTTCCTTTGTAACCCGGGCTCTCCATCTTAGCAGGAGCCAAACAGAAACAAAACTCTGCAGTTTATATCATCCCAGAGATCACAGGAGGCTTCTTTAAAGCCCTTGATCCCATAGAAACGGAAAATGTGTTATTAGAAGTGGAATATAGAGCTGGGATGAATGATGGGTTAAGCGGAGGAGTCAGTGAGTGGTGGACTCTGAAAAGACATGTTGTGGGATTTTGTGAAAAACCGAATTAAGAGTCTAAGCAAAGAGGCTCGCTGTCTGTGACTTTATAGGAAATTGTCCTAATGTGGAGAAAAAAGTTATTCTACTATAAATGTGGTTGGTGTTTCATTTACACCCACCAGAGTGACATTTTTTATTTTTATTTTGTAGGTGTAAAATTAAAGATCAGTGTTGATAATTTACTAAGTGATGTGTGCTGTATGTTCGCCTTACCATAATCATAATGTGGTTCAATTATGAATTAAAATCAGAAAGTATTTAGACAATAGGAACTTATTTCGCCATTTATCGTAAGGTTTTAATTTATCCTAAAAATATCCTTCAATTAGAAGTTAATTCAAAGATGTAAAACATCAGACTTAATTTAAGTCAGACTTTATTTAGAATGTTTTGACGCGATTTGTCTTCCAAAGCGATTTTTTTAAAGAAGCCTGTAAATCTGTCTTCAAAACATCAGCGTCAATTGTAAGGTCTCCTGTACTTACAAAGACTTTTATTGTAGTAAAATATGGTGTTGTAAATGCAAAAGTAATATCTCAGCTCAATTGCAAGCCGCTGAGGTTCAGTATGCTCGTATATTTATTCTTAACAATATAAGTGCTTCCAGTCAGTGAGGTGCTTTCCAAAGGTCTGTGTAGCCTACATGTGCACTAAACACATCCATAAAACACTAAAAAGCTGAAATGTGGGTAAAATGCTCTTTACATTATGTTCACAGGCCAAAGACCCTGTAGCCCAATAAGCACAGTTTTAGGCCACTCTTCAGGTTTCTCTCAAATGCTACACCACCACCTTCTGTTCAGTGTCGGTGTGACATTAAAGAAGCTTTTATGTTTCGATGCAACTTTGAGCTATCTGGGCTAAGTGACTGAAACGACTGCCACCTCTATCCATCGCACAGTGAAAACACAACACACACTGATAATGTTGAAAAATTAAGGTATTTGGGGATCCCGATTTCTGCTTTATAAAGGCTTGAAATATTACCCTTAGATAAAATGTCGATGTTTGATTTCTGTTGAAATCTCTCAAAATATAAATCAAAATGATCACCATAACTCACATTTGAACCTGTTTATTGCATTATCTGTTCGGCTATTTCTGGTGTCTTCGAGGAGAGAGTACAGTCAGACAAAGAACTTATAAAATAAATCCATTTCGATCCCCTTAAAAAATAAATCAAATAAAATTAAAGCCTATTTTAATTTCTGCAGGAAAAAAAAAATACCTGAACGCCTCACACGTTGCTCTGAAGCCCGCTGTTTGAGTCTGTAACCAGTCACAGCAATAGCTGGAAATAAACCTAAGGTGTTGGGGAGTTATTAATCAATGCTAGCAGAGATAGACTTCATCTTCTTGCAGCTGCCTGTATGAGAGGCCTATAAAATAGCTAAATACCCACAATAAAACCACATGTTATAGAGGAAGAGTTTGCAGCAGTGTAAAAAGGAGCCACAATAAGACAGTGAGCTTAAAGTAATAGGCCTAGTCAAAGAAAAGTTGAATAAAATATTAAGATTGATTTTTTTCCAGACAAAATTTTACATTAAACAATCTAAAATACATTGATAAAATCTTTCATTTTTATGGTATTTATGGAACATGATCGAGATCTCTAAAATTAAATGAAAGAACAACAGGTAGCACAGAGTTGGTCATCTTCATTACCGCAGCAGAAAGATGACTATCAACTTTTTACATTTGCCTGTATGGTCTATGGTGTCCACTAGAGGGCAGTGGTGAGTCATATTTAGTAAAAAAAAATATTTGGTCTAGTTTTTAAGAGCAAACTTTGACCACTCACAAAATATAAGCTTGTAAATGAATGCAAAATCAGCAGTGTAATATGTAGTGCTCCAGTGTTATCCTGAAGTCTTACATGCATAGTCAGGCGGTTATAACTACTGCATATATACTCTTTGCACACACATCACCAAGGTAAATATCTTTACCACTACAACAACAACAACACAACCCGGCATCTATGATCTACTGCAGTACAAGAGCATTTTACCTCACTTGTTTCGACCCACTCACACATTAACACGCACAAACACCCAACCAAGCAAACAAATGTACCTAACCGGTATGTCCTTGAACAAAGTTTCACCTCATCCACGGCAGGTGTATCAAAATGCAGTCAGAGAAAGAACATTAACCCTTACCTTCAACAAAAATGGACCACAGAGGATCAGCGTCTTTTTCTTGCCATCCATGTACCCAGTAATCCAGGGTCTCAGGAATGGTGGATCAGATGTGTCCCGCAGGAGTCCGTTTAGATCCCAGAAGTGAGGACAGTTTCTGTTGCTTGGCTTGGCTGTCCCTGACTGTGGATTTTTTTTTCTTTAGCTTCCTGGAATCAGGACCAAAAACTTCTCCTTTAATTGATTCTACCCCAAAATGTTTACACAGTCCTTTTTTGGAGAGTAGCAAGCTCTAACTAATCTGATTCTGAGGAATGACTGGGTTGGAGCCTCCACTGTGTCTGTTGATAAGCTAATAGCTGACATTTCAGCTGTAGCTGAGACAAAAACAAATGCATACTCATACAATTTACAATGTATACTTTATGGAGTTATTGATCCTTTAACATTAAACATGTAGTTCTTTCTTGGAGACAAATTTACACCATCGACTGTTTATACTATGGACAACTTGGTTCCGCCTTCCGCCAGTTTAGGGATTTGAAGCCGGAAAGCTGTCGGTATTTCATTTTACTCCACTTCCTGAAACCAACATTGCGCAGGCGCATAATACGCGTTTGGCGGGAGAGTCGCTGTGATGACGCCCGGCTCAAATGCTGCGTTCGAGTTACCTCGGAAATCAGAGGTCCGGGGTAAAAATGACGTCACACCCGAGTTACCAGCGTTTCAGTTACTCAGTCGGAAAAAGCAAAATCGGAGGCCTAAAACAAGACGGCTACATCTATGAAAGTTATTTTAGCGCCTGCCTTGTCTGAATATAAGGCAAGTGCAAAAAATAACTTTCATAGATGTGGCCATCTTGTTTCAGGCCTCAGATTTAGATTTTTTCCGATTGGGAACTGTGGTGTGACGTCATTCTCAGCCCGAGGTAACTCGAGCGCAGCATAACAGCGTATCCCCCGGGTGCCAATATTTTATTTCGTAGGATAGTAGGGGAAGGTCCCGCCTCCTTGGCCTCTGATTGGCTAGAAAAGCTGGAAACCTCATCACATGCTCAAGCCAAACGCGGGCTGTGGGCCTTGTACATCTAACAGAACATTACAGAACATTATTGCACTGCTGAATCTCCTAACCCTAACCCGACATACGATGATGTTTCACAGCCATTAGGAATAACCAATTGGAGCCCAGCACTTCTAGCCAATCAGAGGCGAAGGAGGGCGGGACCTTCCCCTACCATCCTACAAAAAAAAATTTCGCCTCTGGGTAAGCTACACAATCTTCGTATGCCCATAGGCTGTACCGGTCTCACTGTAACTACATGTCAACGTCACAAGCAAGGGGGAGAAAAAAATATATACTGTGTAATAAATTTCTAAAGTTTGTCCACAGCTCCATAAGGATGGCTGGTGGAGGCGGGATTTATGACCTATCCTGCAGCCCGTCACCAGAGTGTGCTGTTCTCGAGGTGGCTTCACCCAGTGAGGTGGCGGACTCTGTCCATTCTACAGTCTATTATTTACACACTCTCACTCACACACTGGAGACACACATCCCAAATGAAAGAGAAAGTGAATTTCAGCTCGCTTCCCTCATGGAGACACACTGTCTTTTGTGTTCTGATTTAAATAGACCTCTTTTTCAGTATATCACATGGTATGGCCTCTGTTTTTCCTTTTTTCCCCCTAATTGTTTATTCTTACCCTTGAATTTAAAACAACCTAGACCATTAGTGTGTAAGTGGTCACAATGAAACACCATGAATTTGACCTTACAAGGACCATAAAGGAGGTTTAAATTGGTACCACTTATAGTTAACAAATGTGGGTACTTTGTGTGTATTTCCAACCGTTGCTCAAAAATGTAGGGAGTCACAGGTGCTGATGCAAGAAGTGTTACAACCATAACTGGTCTCCCCTACTTTAACATCAACACCACGGGAACAGTTGAGTATAAGGGGTACATCTTATTTTGGCTGTTTTTGTTACTATGTGATATTTTTTTTATCTTATTTAACACCCCCCGTGGTGAAAGTTACTGAGACACCTAATGACAACAGTACAGAGTGCGCGCCAAATGGTAAAAGAGAAACTTTTTCTAACGAGGGAACATTTCTTTAAAAGTACAATAATAGTGCTAAATGTGATGGAAAATGGACCAAAAGCTCCATAAACAAAACCCACTCACAAACTGCATATAATGTAAACAGGTTTCAGGTCTGTGAGTCAAAAAGACTTTAAAAAGCAGAGAATAATTACTGTCATCCTCAGGCTAAGTTGTTGTTTGTTTTATTGTGCAGCTTTTAACATTTTGCTGCAGTTACACACAACATTTAAATGGTTCAATTACCTGGCATCGAATGGCTTCAATGTTCTCCTTTTGCTGTAATGATAGAAAATAACCTGGATTCTGTGACCATATATTTAACTTCATAATGAAATAATCACACTGCTGGCTCATTTCTTGACAAACCACATGCTTAAATTAAACTGCAGGCTGTGAAATAAGCATTAAATCATCATGTGGTGTACGATTATAAAAAAAGATCCTGACCACAGGACTAATGGAGCTGCAATGATTGTTCCAGCTTGTTCATGTTATCAGAGATTTGTAGTATCACACCAATCCAAAATTAAGCAATTAAAAGCACCCAGTTTATTCATTAAAATTCTGCTTGTTTCTACAAGTTAGACAATCTCTGATATTTAGAAACCTTTTTGACAACTGCTGATTAATGACAGACTTTGTTTTTGAGATGTGTGTAACATAACTCCATTTCTCAGATCTCATCACAGGCCGTCACACTTTGTCAAAACAGTGGTGGAGGAGCTGGCTTTTCGTCATCAAATCAAACCCACAATACAAATCAAGAACAGTTTCACCATTCACTGTCAAGAAAACACAAAGGCAGAGGATCTGTGGATTCAAATGATGTAAAACCTATCGTAGTTTTATAAAACTACAGCACACTGTGACAAGGTAAATTTAACATGCCGGGCTGTCAGCAGGAAACAGATCACCACTGCATGAGGACCTTACATCAACAGAGGAGCCTGCAGAGGGGTTCAGAGGTGCCTGATAGTCCTCGTCAGTGGTTGTATTCAAACAGTCACTCTTACTGCTGCCCTTTTCCTTTTCAGCTTTTCTGCATCCTCCACAAGGTGTATTAGCATGTCAAAGATCAGGTCATCATGTAATGTAAGAGACTGCAGGCCTAGCATATGAAAATAGCCACAGCGCAAGAGCTATCATGACAAAATATGCAAAACAAGGAGAAATGTATAGCTATATGTTTTCCTAGCCTGGCTGGGCCATCCTGTTGCGTGAATCACTTGCCTTGTGGGAAGGAACGGCAAGTGATTCATGCAACAGGATGGCCCAGCCAGGCTAATGTTTTCCTAGTACAAGGTAGTTATGTTGTTCAGGAACAATACTCTCCTAAAACTTTGCATAACTGAAACATAACCAGTAAAGCAAAATGGAAAAATTAAAACAAACAAGAACAACAGAAGATGTGACTAAACACGGGATAAGTTGTTAGATAGCTGACAAATGTATCTTTGCAAAGACAATCTTATTAGAAAGATACTGTCATTCATCAAGGCGTGAACAGGTGCCTAACTGTTCTTCATACACAAAGTTATTAAAGTGAAAAATGAAAAATCATCCATTTATTACTCATTACAGGCTTTTAGACAGACACATTATGGACACCATCCTTCACCAAAACAAAGCTGGAGATTGGGAAAGATAGAATGTGGGTTCTCATTCACACAGAGAACACTCTGTCCAAAAACAAATGCACATTCATTACAACTGAATTTAGTTTTCATGCAGTGGAGGAAGGACTACAGGAGTTGTACACTACACTGAGAAATTGGGTATTTTGGATGCAGGTTATAAGTCTAGCCAACAGAGGGCAGGAGAGGCTATGAATTTAATGAGACAAGCAGCCTTGACAAACATTGTGCTTTCAACTCGCCATTATCCTGAGTGTGGTGTAATGTGAGGGTAGAGACAATTAACTGTTACATGATTTCTTGTAAAGTTTCTTTATATTCTGAGCTGCAGACAGCAGCTTATTTTAATTTGTGCAAGGGAAATGCTTCACTTAATTCTATCCCGTTCAACCAGCAACTTCAAATAACTACTTTTTAGTCTGCCAGTGACTGATGTCCAAATGGATGAATCTACTGTATTAAATTTGTGAGGGGTTTAGGAAATAACTTCTAAGGACTGATACATAAAAAGAAGTTTTACTTAATGATATAAGGCATATGTACACTGCAAATAAGTATATATAAAGCAGGAAAGTTTATTGTGTCCACAACAGTGAGGGCTTTAATTCAGGAGATTCACTCTGCCAAAGACCAAGACTGCACTATAAGCAGCACTATTTTTGTTATTCCTTCAGACATGCAGCCAAAATAATATCAAAATAAATCAATGTGACAAAACTATGAAGGAACTCAGTGATCAACCACATAATGAGGACATCTAGTTCTTATGTAACATTTTGAACTACCATGTTCAACTCTTGCAATGTTTGCAGAATGCTGTATAATGCTCCTTTAAGACATGCCCGTCAGACTAAGGGTTATGGCAACATGGCATATTTCTCTTAATGACACTCAGAGCTTTGATCAGCCCTGGTAAGTAAGCAGCGGTTAAGCCCGGCTCACAAGCATCCCTTATTGGTTTATTATTTCAGGGTTTTCATCGGCATGGTTGGCATTCAGCAAATTTCCTGTGGAAAGTTCTGCTCTCCTTGCTGGAATGCAGCCACACATGTCTGCTAACATGAGTGTGCATCTAACTCAAAGCCAACTAGGTACAATGTTGGACAGCACTGTTTTGCTAATAATACATACAGCACAGTGCAGAATGTAGTATGCATTGCACTCGCTTTACAATTCTACATACTGCTAATGTATTTTATGAATGGATTCTTAAAATCTGATCATCTTTCCTCCTGCAGCAGCTGAAGCCTGTCCTCTGCATAGTAAGGGCTGCTGTGTCCAGTATCAATCGCTTCACAGTCATCTGTGAAAAACACCAAGTCCTGCAAATGATACACAGAAGACATGTGGTGAGGCCTCAAGAGCACGAAAACAAGAAAATTCAGGGGGAAGATACAGATGTTGTTATGGTGGTCTTACCCTGTAACAAATCCTGGTGATGATGTTGTACAAGTTCTGGATTTTACGCTTCAGCAGCACCATTCTGGGACGCTCTCGGCAGTACTGGTTTGGATGGTTCAGCACCACATAGAGAAAATCCCGGAGCTTGGCCGTAACACATGAATTCTAGAAATATAAAATAAGGCTTTAAAAAAAACCAGTAGTGCTCACTCTGCTCTACTTCAACCTATAGCAAATTCACTTTTGGTTAGGTCCCAATTTCTGAACCCAGATTTTGTTTTTGTATGGTATTTACAGACTGCAACCCCCAGGACAGATTAACCCTTAAGTAAACAGTCAACAGACTGAAGACCGAACTTGGATAAGGTTTTCATTGGTTTCTGTGGCTGCCTCTCACTGTACTAAAGTAATTCTGGTCAGAACAAACTTATTATCACATTTGAGAAGTCTTATGCAAGTTACTTAAACTGTTCCAGCAAAAAGTGGGCAATAACAGTAGTTTCTCTATTAATTAAGTGTTTGTGACTTTAAAGTCAGCTACACGTGTCAAGGGAGTTGAACTAAATAATGTCAGAAAAGTAAGTTTGTTTTGTTTTTGGCATCAATTACTTACAAGGCTCTGGCTGTTATTGGCAGCAAATTCACAGAAGACAGTGGTTGTATTACTTTACAGTGATTATTCATCACCACTTTAACACAATACAAAATACAAAAAAAAGTTTTAAAGCACGTGAGCAATTTTATTTTACTATTTCTGAAACAGGCTTAAATTAATTTTGATACCTGTTGTTGAGTGTGAAAAACAAACAAACCTATAAAACTAAAGATCGCCAATTAAGATCCCTTAAACTGCTGCCACATGGTAGGTGCCAAGCAAAGTGATTGACGATTTTCTTTTCAAAATGTTTACAGCAAAGATATTTACTGAATGAAACACCTGACTGTCAGGAGAAACCAGGAGAGATTTTTTTTTGTTAAAAATAAATCTCACACATGTCCAAGACATAATCAGAAGAGACAAAAAGTACTGCATTATCTACAGGGGGCACTAACAGCAACATAAAGCAAAAGTTACTTACAGGAGCTTTAAATGTAGCTATATCTACGGACTACAACTTTTCAAAATAGAGCTATACCTCCCTGTTTAAGTTTTAAAGTGCACTTGTGTAGACACCATACCATTCCTTTTAGCTCAGGGCACTCTTACCAGCAGAAAAGAATGTGCAATACACTCCTAATCCCTTATCTTCACAACATGCATAATAGGAAATTATTTTTGACTTACGTGCACGTCGAGGAAGATCGGCGGCAGAATCTCAGCACAAGTTTTCTGCAAACAAACATCATTATGAGGACACGGAACAAGCAGCACCAGCACACTGGACTTTCAGCAGTTACATCTGCAAGGTGAGACCGGACGGTGCATCCGGCACCAAGATCTTACCGTTCGGTGGTACGTGTGTATCTTATCCAGCAGGGTCATCACTTCCTTACTCAGGCCGAGCGCTCGAGAGTAGCAGGTCGGAGGCGCGCACTCCGACTGCCACACAAAGCTGAAGAAACACACGAGAGCGGGGAGTCCCAGCCTCATGTCGGGGTAGTCTACAGCGGGGCTGTGTCTGAAGTGCTGCGACTGTAAACGGGGATTCAAATCGCACAGGCGACGACTTGCTGCTGTTTTATGAGTGAAGTGGTAGAAAAAAAAAAACGATGGACGATGACGTGGAGGCGCAGCAAGACTGAGGAAAACATCCAGGGTCTGCTGTGTGTAGGAGAGCAAATAACTCAGCTCCAAATACCAGGGATAATAGAGCTGCCACAGGTCATTGCACAGCAAGACTGTTCCTCAACTTTTTCTTACCCTTTGTTTTTAGCTTGCCAGTTCGTACAACTCAAAACATGTTTTCAAAAATAGTTAAAGGGAAGAGTTTCTAGCAGCATTAAAAAAGGTTTATTAAAATGAATCCAAACTGCTGCACAGAAAGAGCTCAGAGTTTTCTGTCCCTGAACATCCTGAGTGTAGTGAGGTATACAGTCCTCACATCAGACCCCTAACACTCAGTAACAGGCCCATTTTTGACTTATAACACTGTATTCGACATTTCTTTACTGAAGCACATACGTTTAGATTTGGTTAGTCCAAATCTCATTTGTCAAGTGTACCTCTTTCATAACTAAGTGTGCTCTTGTGTGGATTGTTCCAACAGTTCAAAACCTCACCCTTAAAGACAAGAACATTTATAAAAAGTAGTCCCCTGTCAACCACATACATACCCTTTGAATCGTACTCCCCATCAGGGAGTACACAGATTAAGTACTCTTGAAACTGTTAGTCAGCTGCCCTCATGAACACAAAGCCAAATGCTACATAAACTGAGAATGGAGACAGAGAATTTCCTACTCTAAAGGGCAAAACTAAAAGTTCGCTAGATTGAAGTATTATCGATATAAAGTACCATCTTTAAAAAGAACACTTGTTGTCTCAGTGGAGGTCCGATGGAGCCACAGAGCTCTTCTTTTTCAAATTGAGAAAGTTTTTCTTCCTTTTCCTTTTAGGTACATCTGCATCTGCATGGTTCTCTGCCTCAGGTAGGTCCCTGAACACGAACAGCCTCTCTCCTGCACCCTCGACGTTCAGAGACATTACCTCTGCCTCGGCTGTGCTGTGTATCACATCATTCACTGTGTCCACAACCCTCTGCTCTGAGGCGTCACTGCGCTGCTGTGCAGCCGAGTTTTCAGTCATGGTTAGGCTACAAACAGGCTGCTGAGCTTTACTGAATCGGTCCCCCTTTCGTTTCTCTTTAACCAGCAGTGGAGTTGCATCTCTTGGAAATTGGTGAAGGGACCTGGGGAGCAGTTTTTCCATCAGACTTTGCCGCTTTTCCTGGAGTTTGTGAAAACTGGAGCACAAAGGAGCAGTTGTTAGTGGTTTTGGAGTGTTAGAGAGCTTACCTCATACATGTGGTCACTGCAGCCCAGCCATGTAACAAATGACAGGCATATTAGACATCATTAAAGGATTTGTCTGTTATTTTTAGTCACCGCTGAAGTACAAATGAATCTTAAGTAGACTTAAAGGGATATTCCAGCATAAAATCAATTTAGGGTCGAACACACCGTTAGAGTTAGACACCCCCTCAAGAGATGAATGTTGCCAACTGCTTGCTTCTCTAGTTATACCAACTTTAGTAACGACTGCAGGACAGCAATACACAGTGGTCTGAGGAGCCATAAACAAACCTCAACCAAAAAGCCACTCTATAGCCACATGTAATGCTCAGAATGCTCAGAGTCCCAACCATAGCACTAACCACCAATCATCTTTTTAAATTTGCCTAATTTCTGTAGCAAAGAGACTAAACACAACTCACCTACTCTCTTCCAGCAGCCGCTTGTTTGTAGCGAGACCTCGGGCCAGTCCATTATGGACTGCTGAGGGATGACACAGCTCAAGGAAGAACACTTAAGATCATTTTCTTTATCATTTCCTTTAAGTAATAATCATCATATTAATTATTTTGCACTGCAGACGCGGTAGTTCTTCTGCCTTAGCGTCTCGGTCTGATTTCCATGAAGAAATGATAAAAAATGTTCTTTCTTGAGCTGCGTCACCCCACTGTAGTCTGTAAAGGACTGGCCTGAGGTCCCCTACAAACAAGCAGCTGCTGGAAGAGAGTAGGTGAGTTGTGTTTAGTCTCTTTGCTACAGAAATTAGGCAAAGTGAAAAAGATGTTTGGTGGCTAGTACTATGGCTGGGACCCTATATGTACTGTTGATGAAGTTAGGTGCTGTTCTGAGTATTATTTGTGGCTATAGAGTGGCGTTTTGGTTGAGCGTGTGGCTCTCTGTATTGCTATCTACGGTCATACAAAGTTGGTTTAACTAGAAAGGCAAGCGGTTGGCAACATCCATCTCTCGAGGGGGAGTCTAACTCGGTGTTACGGTGTGTTTGACCCTAAATTAATTTTATGCAGGAATATCCCTGTAATAAAGCAACCTGTAGCAAAACACAGAAATGTGTTACACTCACCTCTCTTCTTCCACTGTGCTATTTGGCAGATTTTTCCGCACCACCTCTTCTCTCAGTTTGGCAGGAAGAAGTCGGTTTGACACCCAGACAGAGCTAGTCAGAAAGTGATGAGTATATTATGAGCCGGTTACTGTAATTATATAATCTCCTTAAACAGTGGTTGGCTTAGTTAAAAAATGTTCAAAGACATGCTGGTTGACTAGTGACTCTGCCAAAGAGTGTGACAATGAGTGTACTTGACAGACAACCTGGTTTACCACATACTAGTTTGATAAGGATTTTTAAAATCATAGTGTTGACTTAAATTAGTTGTTTGTGTTTATAATGACAGGTTAAACTGTCAAAAAACTGTCTGAATCTCTAATCCAAAAGCAGAAACAAAAGAGCTTGCAAAAACGAAACACGTCTTTGCATATCGATCCAAAGCAGTTTCATTCCCTTGTCCCTTAGCCAGACAGCTCTGGTCCAAAAAGACATGGGCCTAATTCATTCCTTATGCAATCCAAACTCTGAGGGGGCCTGACATGTTCCAGCGATTCAGGAAAAGAAGGAAATTAGAGGATGAGTAAAATCATTTATCTCTCTATTTTGACTTGGGGAAAGGGGGTTTGTGGAAATGTTTCTGAGGAGCATTTGTAGTTCAAATTTAATACAACGCTTCGAGCTGTGTTAGTTTCAGCCAGCTGCTGTGTTTCAACTCGGCTTTTATTTAGTCAATGACTTCACTCTTTGAAACCACAACATCACAGAGACTCTGGCAGCGTACTCGGGGCACAACAGTTTTCACTATACTTAATTTGTAAAGGGGGAATGGAGAGAAAATAACATGAACTAGTGCATAACCAAAAGCTTTGCTTGGCTTATGCACATATAAATTGGAAAATCTTGTTTGCAAACTGGAAAAGAACAGATTTAGATGATGAACAGTAATTTGATTTTCTAAATAATTACCAAATGAGGTACAGACAGTCTGCTAATTTGACCAGAGGAGCAGTGTTTAGATTTTAATTATCACATTGTACCAATCTAAATAGAAATATGATATCCATAAAAACACTGAGTTTTTTTTGTTTTGACTCTGTAAAATGTAAACAGTTACTAAAGCTTTTGTAAGCATCAAACAAATCCAGCTGTTAACTCTGGCTAATGATTGCTGAAACTGCAAATAATGCACCACTTCTATTTTGTGTTTAGTCTTGGGAATACTCAAATATGACATCAGATGGAGTTAAAAAACTCTATTAAAATACTCCAGTAGTCTGCGTTTTGTCTGGGACTTCACAGGGCCTTGATCTACAGTACACCATCTGTTACTGTATTCTTCATAGATCCACAGAAAATCCAGCAGGCCAACAGTCATCATAAGAGCCTGAGCACTAACACGAGAAATATGTCAGCTTTACTCAAGTTCCACGTTGCAAGCATGTTTTGTTTTTCTTATTCTTTCATATTTAGGCCTTTTGCCACTGATGAGAGCTAATGGCTGAGCATTGATTGCCAAACCACATGTGATGTTGTTTGTCCATTTGCAGGCTTTTAAACAGATTCAATTGTCCACACGGAGTCTCTTACTGTCAAGATAAAAAACCTTCTCTTTCTACAGATGCCAAACTTGGCATATTTACAAGTCTAATAGACTTTTCCAAATACATCTCAAATGGAAATACCGAGAATATTTCCTGCTCTGACATGAATAATTGTCGACAGTCTTATTCAGCCAAAAAGAATCTCCACTGAGAAAATTAACTGTGAAAAACTGATCTAAGTTTGGTTCTTACCCTGTGTGTTCCTGCTCTGTAGATGGTGAAACAGGGTGCTGTTTGGGGCACAGGGCATCAGTAATGGAGAGGAGCTCACTCTCAGGCAGAGTGGGGAGGAGGAGACGCAGGGCCTCCAGGAGAACCTCAGGGGAAATTTGATTCAGTTTCACCAGCTGTGACGTAAAATCCAGATCCTGACATAAAGCATATGGCACAAAGCCTTCTTAAGTACATTGTTCTTGACTTTCTCTGCCTTTAAATTTGTGTTGAATCTGAAAATGGTTACATTAAAGACCTGATCACAGTTTCCATAAAGTCTCCTGAGCTCAACTTGTTCTTTCAAATCTTCCGTGGCTTGATTGTTGGCAGTCACTTCTTGCAACCTGAAAACAACAAGAGTTTCAACACTGAGAAATGTAACGGCCTGTGCTGACCCATAGAATTCCTGATCCCTCTCACGCTAACACTGACATGCTGGCTCACCTCTCAGCCAACACTGTGCTGACCTCTTCACACTTGTAGAGTGCCTCCTGGAGGATAAACGTCATCCTGCCATCCTGCTGCAGCTGAAAAAGTCTCTCCTCCTGGCTCTCTTCCTCTCCCTCATCTGAGTCCTCACTCTGTGGTGGATTTGATTTGACTCTGGACTTGACCGTCTTCAGGCTGTGCCACTCCGCTCTCTCCCGCTGATGCTGTTGTTCTGCCTCTTCTAGGCCCTGTAACAAGAGTTGAATCACACTTAATTATATTCCGTGAAGTCAGAGATTGAGTAACAGTTTCAGCAGACACCAAGACCCAGAAACAGCCTTTCAGTGGTTTAATAATACAACTTGGTCAAGCTTTGCCTACCAAGCAGTGGTTCTGAATACTCTGGGCCATCTCCTGCCTCTGCAGACTCTTTCTCTCTCTGATGAGCTGGATGAGCAGGCTGTGCAGAGAGAGCATGGCTCTAGATGTCTCCAAAACCTTGGACCTTCTCTCAGCCTTCTGGTAATGGATTGTTGCCATCTGCATGGCCAGGCTGTCAGCTTTGGAACACAGCTCATCCTCTCTCTCCTTCTGCATCTCCTCCATCACCTGCAGCATGGAGAGTGGATGGATTTCTACCCTTCATCTTGTGTGCAGTCAGGACAAAAAAAAGGTGCCAGCTTTACCTTGTTTGTGACGCCTTCCTCCATCTCCTTCTCCTTCTCAAACAGTTTGATCCTGTCTTCGAGCATTTTTTGGAAGACTTGCAGGTCAGATTTGTCAGTTTTCTGTCTGGCCTCCCTGGTTTTCCCCTTGGATTGTACATGTAACTGCAAAAACCACAGTAACCATAAGGTTGTTGGGAATTGATTCTCATTGTGCGTAAATAAAACCACTCTGTGTGATTTCTTATATTCCTTAATAACAATGTGACTTCATCATGCGGCGATGAAGTCAATGCAATGCGGTTTCCCCCTGGAAGTTATTATTTTAACTTTGTCATTTATTGAAAACATATTTAAGCACACCATTAACCCAATCTACAGCTGCTTTTTGACATGTGGGCTCCTTCCCTTGAATTGCCTTTAGATTCAGGGTCAAAACAAAGTACGAACATCATTACAGATGAAAGCGCTTCACCTAGAATGACGTAATTACAAGAGAAACATTTTAAGATTGTCAATTTAGCCACCAAAACTACTTATCAAAAACAAATACAACATATCTGTGAGTTGGTTCTCTCCAGTGTTTTCTAAACAATGTAAAAACTCTAAAGCGTATCATCTTACAACTTTATTTTTGCTTATGTGTTAAACTGGAGGGCCAATGATTTCCACATACTTTTTGAAAGGTTTGAAATAAGATATCGTTTCTAAGTACCATTTGCTGCTCGCTTTCCTTTCTCTGAGCTGCCAGAGCTGTATGCAGCTTCGCTCTGGAGACAGCATGAGGCAGCACCAGACTGTGGTCCATCACAGACAAACACTTCTGAAACTCGAGCTTCATCCTGAGACAGTCATCCTCAAACAGTGTCAACTGTGACGAGCATAAATGGCTGGAAAAGAAAGAGAAAAGGACGGCTGATGGACAAAAGTTATGAGACTCCAATAATAGGACTCTTCAGCGCTGTGTTTGAAGCACAAACTTCTGTATTTAAGTCGCCGGTCACTGACCTGAAGAAAGCTCTGCAGTGTGACCTGAGCTCCCTCTGCTCTTGCAGCTCTCTCTCCCTGGCCTCCCTCAGAGCCTCTCTGGTGCAGCTAAGGGTGCGTAACGCTGCCTTTCCTTCTTGGTGCAGCTTCTCCTGGCCCTGCAGGAGAGTGCTTGACCCTTGTCCTGCTCCTGCCTCTGGTTCTACCTGCAGCAGGGTTCGTTGTGCTCCCAGAGGCAAAAGTGACAGCAGGGCCTGGTTTGCAGAGGGTTGGATGGCTTTGATATCTGTTATGGCACTCTGAATCACTCGCATGGTCACCTATTAAGCAGGAGGAGGATTGAGAGAGGGGGTAAATGAAACTCAACCAGCTCTACAGTATACTTTACAGGGTGTAGTTTGTGTCTATCTCACAGTTATAAGATCGTGTCAATGTCTGCTATGTTCTGTGAAGAGCACCTTGCGGATGTCGGCAGCAGTTTCCTCATCCAGGTTGTTGATGAGCTCGGCTAGCCCCGGACTCTGAGCTGTCAGCAGGCTCTGCCAGCAGTGCAGGTGCTGGGCTATGTCCATCTTCCCCTCCACAGCCTTGGACCGGCCTGACAGATCCTTCTGTTCCTGTTTGTGGATCTGAAGCTGCAGAGGGAAGGAAACGGCTGTTTTAATTGATTCCTTGGTAATTCTTCTTGATGCGTGTCCAGAGGATAAAAGCCTTTAAATGTTATCACCATATCAGAGATGAGCTCCCTTCTCTTCTTAATCAGCCCACAGCGCATGGCCCTCCTCTCCTGGCTCAGTGCCTCATCCAGTCTCTGTCTCACCATTACCAGCTCCTTCTGGGACTTCTCCTGTAGCTGCTCTATCTGTTCTGTCGGCACAATGCTCCCCCTGGTGGAGATATGAAAGCATGTCAGAATAAAAACATGAACAATCCATCTGAGAAGCTGCCCACAAAGTTTTCCTGGTTGTTTAACTGCAATTAATACGAATAAACACATTTGCTGTTGAAGGTTGGAAAAATAAATTCAGTTTGAAACCAGTGTGCTCATCCTGCTACAGATTCCTACTTTGCCTCACCATTACAACTGGATACAAGTAACCAAATTGATGTTGTAACTGGTATCTATAGTCAGTACAAACCTTCTGATGACAGCAAACCACCTGTCCAAACTGCTGGAGGTGCTTGAGAAGGTGTCAGAAATGAGATCATTGAGGCTTTGCAGGCTGTGCACCAAGAACTTCCTCTGTGCATGGCGCTCCGACAGCATGTAGCGCTGGTTAGCAAGGACAACATCAAGCACCTCCTCAAGCTGATCCTGGGCAGAAAACAGAATGCGAAATGTGTTTGGATATGTCAATTAGAAAGAATAATTATTGTGGGAAAGAATGAAACAAGAACTTAAATAAGATATGAAGTGTGTGTGCTTTATATTCATGTCTGCAGGTGTGCATGTTGAATAACTCAACCTTTAAGTGCTAAATGCCACCAAAAAGTTACACATTAAATTTCTGTTTCCACGGTGACAGCACTTTGAAAGTTAATGTTTTGCTCACTTGGCAAGCGAAGTAATCGTGCTGAAGACTCTTGGTTGTACTCCTCTCCAGCTCGCCCATCCTGGTGGCCTCTTCTAGCTCCTCAGAGAAAATCTTGTGAAGCTCTACACGGCGCCACTCAATGATCTGCCTCTGGATCTTGGCTGAAGCTTCCTCATGTCGGACCAACAAGACGCGCTGGAGCTGACTCTGGCTCAGCTTGTGTAGCTTCTCAAGGAGGACGCTGCAGTGGAGGAGCTCCTGGTAATAGAGTTTTGTGATATCAAGTAAAAAGGTTTCATCTTAGATCATAACTACCAAAAAAAGACAACCTCCTTTGTTTAGACTGTTTCTCAAAAGTTCAGAGTATCTGATTTTGTTGGTCTTTTGAGAGACAAAATACTAAAATGCACCATGACAAATATTAGAAGGAATAATGATTTTTAATACTTCTTGGTCTGCATGTTGACACAGCAGCTCAGCCTGGGCCTTTTCGGCAGCCGCTCTGCGATGTTCAGCCTCCATTTCCTCCCGAGTCTCCAGGTTACACCGGCCGGCAAGTGCAGCCATGCGGGCTCCTCGCTCTTCCTTCAGTCGACCCTCCATGCCCAGCAGTTGTCCATGAAGCACACTGAGCAGCCTCTGCTGAGCCTGGGCACTCGCTTGGCCCTGGGACTGCAGGCCACTGAACAGGGAGGATATCACATCCTTGTAGATCTGAATCCGGATGGTTTCCAGGTTGTTGGTTGCACGCAGCAGTGTTGACATTTCAAGGCTTAAAGGGGTAAAAAAATCGAGTAAACATTTACTGGATTTGAAATTTGTTCTGGTAACATTTGTCAAGCCTTACAGAGTTATCAACTCTCTCTAAATGAGGTTACTCACTTCTCCAAAGCCTGATACATGTTCTGGGGTTCCTCCAGCACCATGATGTCGACCAGTTTGTCTTCAAATGTTGCCTCTTCTTTAATCGCCTCACTGATGTCACAGTCTGCATACTCTGGGTCTGAATCACATCTATTTCTCTGAAGCCGGAAAACATGTTCATATCTTATTCACATTTTGCTGAACTAAATCACTGCAAACAAAGTACACTGACAAGTTTATGCAAGTCAATTCTATAAAATTAGAAACACAAAATGAAATATCTTAAATATTATCATCAACATCAAAAGGATAGCATTCTTAAACATGAATATGTATGCTAAAAAAAAAACACATGTTGCATTCAATCTGTGTCATACAATGAAACATAATGAAATAGAAAATTTTTGTTACCCTTTGTTGAAGAAGGTTTAATCTGGTTCTTGGACCTATCAAGTTCATGGCAAGAAATCCAAGTGACAGCAACACCAACGTGACGAATAAACCAACAACATATCCAGCAAAATGCACTCCATGATTTGGATAAATCTAGAGGAGTGGGAAGACACAGCCAACATATTGTCAAGTTAATGATATGTGTTCGAAATTGATCAGAAAAACGTGCACAACTTGAAAATGAAGGTGTGCTTTCAAACTGTCCTGGACTTACCCTGTCTGTGGAATTTACCCTCAAGGTTAGATTAGCTGTTAACGGACCAAACATGCTGACATCATTCTGTGGATACAAGAGAACACTGGGTAAGAAGAAAATGTCCCAATTGTACTCCAAATGTTGACGTGGTGAAAATGAATAGCAGATTTTTGTTTCACAAAGTTGCCAGTTTTGAAGATTGTTTTTCCAGTGAAAGGAGCAGAAACTAGGCAGCAGAAAAAAATACCTGTGAGGCATTAGAGAAGGTGAGAAAAGCTGGAAGGTTCAGTACTTCACTCTTATGACTCCTTACACTTGCAGTATAGTTGACAATAACTTTTGATCCAGCTGAAAACAACAACAACAACAAAAAACATTAGCATTGTTCAATATGTTGTGGATGCAGCTTTTAGAAAATGAAAAAAAAAACTCTAGCACCAACAAAACATTTTTAAAGATTGTCTTATTTTTATAAAATTCAGCTCCCATACATACCAGACAGTGAATCAATTGCAAATGTCTGATAGCCCCTTTCCACCACTCTGCCCTCAGTTTTCAGGGGTACTATTCCAGAGATTGAATCTCGGATAGCCACCTGAGACAGGTTGGTACCCCCGACTGGGCCCATGTTGTGAATCAGGATGAAGAAGGTCAGCTGAGGAGGAACAGTGTCCAACTTCGCCTGGTAAACACATAATTGATCGATTTGAGTGTCATTAAATGGTGGGTTTCAACATGTTCATTTGCAGATTGAAGCTAGAGGAAAAATCAAATGTCCTCTTCTGAAGCAATAATATTTATGTACCTGTGCACACTTGTGAAATCTGACCCCAAATGATGATGGAGGTGCTACACTCTGAACCTGCAGAAACATGAAATTACACCTGTAATTTACTTCTTCCAATCTGGTGTAATACTGACAATCTTTTCAGGGATCATCAGGTCAAAGCTGAAATCCAACACAAACATTCGGCATAAAGGTTTGAAAAATAAATCAAACGAACTCATGAAGTGTGCAGAACTATCAAAGCAACCAAAGCACTTCCAAGAAACACACCTGAGGCAGAGCGTGGCCTGGGTTGATTCTGGTGAGTGTGCTTCTGCTGCGCCTGAGATGCAACATGTTTGACATGTAGGTAAATGAGGAGTAAATGGAGTTTCCCCATGGACCAGCGGGAGCTGAGGAATACAGTGGGCCCTCTGAAGAAAGCAAAGCAACACAGGCCAGTTGACTTCAATCATACTTGTCTGGGTAAGTTTAGGTCAGTTAGATTTAACCACCCACAACAGCTACAAATTTCTCATATATAAGTTTAATAAACTAAATTTATGTAAAATACTTGGATTATTCTTCAACATTTTACGACATCGTTTTAGTACAGCAGTCTAAGTAGTATACACCAACAACCATGACACTATGAACACTTGGACAAGTGAATGCAACTAAACACAACAGCTCTACCATAAATTTTACTTTTAGGCAGCTTTTAAATATCCATTTTTGTTGTTTTAAGGTCAGGGAAGTGATAACTGTTCTTTGAATTAATTGTTGTAATAAGTGTTGTGGTGTAACCTGGGTAAATTACACTGAAAGGTGTTCCTAATATTTTGCCTCTCTCAAGTTTACTCTTGAATGAATTATGTGTCTTGCTGTCGAATGTGTTATCCATATGGATAATGTCGCATTTTTAAAATGTGAAATTACATTTTTGGACATGGCTGGGATAAATAAGAATAAAGTCAATCTAAATCAAGCAGGTAAAATATAAGGAACAACTTTCAACATAGCACACTCCATTACAAAAGCACAATAATCACCTGCCTGATCATGTCAACAAAACCTGAAACTTTTGAAGCTACCTTAAAGTAGAATTTATGCTATAGGATTGTATTAGGTGTTGATTAGTGTACATTGTAATAGAAAATACTTTGCATTTTAAACTTTCAAAAACCTTATTACTAACAACATCAGCTGTTAAGTTGCTTTGTCTACTACTTAATAACAAGTTAAGCAGTGATCCAAACAAACAAACAAACCTTCCATCCTGAGCAATGCCATTTCTTTGGAGTTTCCACCAGAGTCATGTGTCCTTACATGGATCCAAAAGGAGCCCTGGAAATAGAAAACAAACAAAAAAATGTTGTATCTTGATTTTACCTTTCTTTAATTTAAATGTCATTATCCATCCAGTCTTTGGACACCTATAAGCACATGCTCTTCTACAAGACAAAGCTTCTATGTGCAATATCAACAAACAAGTACAACAACATATTGGATGGTAAAGCAACTTGAAAAAACAACTTTATTGACTTGAAGGATTCAATTCAGTAAGGGCAGATGACGAGTAGCTTAGTGAAATACTCGGGTTTTTTTTACATTACGCCACTCACCTCCTGTTTCTCCTGCAGAGGAGGAGGTGGTCGCGTTGTGTACCATGACGCATCCTGAGAAGTACAGTCATAACACTGCTCGTGTCCAGCACCATTCTCCACTCCACCGGTTCCAAGCCGGCTTACATCGTAGTAAAAACCGTAATGCAGCAGAGGTAGAAACAAACATGACGTTTGTATATTTAAAATTAATAACCATATCGCGACCCTCTTCGCGTTCAATTGTACCTGAAGCATTCGTCTGTCGCTGTGCCACCCTCAACAAGGACAGCCGCTAGCTAACGGGCTGCTGCATTGTTTCTCAACGTTAAAGCGGTTGATAACATTTCCACTGTCTTTTCTTGACAAACACCCAGTGTTGCCGCATCTCCGAAGGACAAAACCGTGTTACTTATATTGCTGCCATTATACGAGAAAAAGCTATCGACGCTGTAGAAGAGATTTAAACACCATAACGTCCGAGGTCGCCTTTGCTGCACAACTTTGGGAAACATTTCCAAAACTTGGGAAAACTGACAATTCCTCTAGGAGCGTCAATGACATGTTTGGTTCCTGTTTTGGCTTTCAAATTAAAATAACACAGACAAAAACGTAGAAAGGTGGGAACTGAATTCATCGGCCATTGAGTAAAAAATAATCCAAGTAACAATATGAATACCTAATTCTCAATTCCTATACTCGACAGTGTCCTGGGGTATGGTAAAAACCACCCTCCTCTTCGACGCAGTCTTTCCTTACTACTTTAATTTTGGAGGACAAGTTTTGTTATTTCCGGTGATAGTCTCTCTAACGTTACCGTTTAACGCGACTTGGTCCTCCTCTCAAATCTCAAAAAGACTAAAATCTCGGCCCATCCGTTGGGTAAAATATCGACCAACTGCGTCATTTTGAGCAATAAAGGAAAGTTTTGCTGTTGTTGTTACAGAGAGGGTTTAAGTTTAAGCTGTTTAAAAATCGAAGAAGACGAGCATGTATAATCAGACGGGAGCAGAAAAGTTTTTTCGTGAAGGGTTCAGAGATGTCTGCTTTCTTCAAGCTGAGGAGTTCAGTGACGGTTAGCTTGCTGGATGTTGTTGTTGAAAAATGCTAACGTTCATAACTGACTCTCCCACGGAGCATGTGCTCACAGCGGAGTGCGATACTGATGTCTTGGTGAGTTTTGGGGAGTCCTTGCACATTTACACAGGACTCTTAACTGTGTCGGCAGTCTGTGGGGGGCTGACAGGAATACTAGCCGCGGCTCTTCTCTACGTCTTCTGTCTGAAGCCTTTACTGTTGACCAGACAAGTAAGCAAAGTACTTGCTTCATCTAGTTCTCCCAACTTCGGCACATATTTTTTGTTCAGTGCATTTGGCACATTTGGTTTCATGATTCACTCTGATGTAGGGTTACAATGCAAGGCGTCTGCTCGAACCTGATGATGGAGATCTGGACAACAACCAAAGTGACTGTGTCAGCAACAGCAAAAAGGAGGCTCCAAGTGGCACCGAGGTTGACAAAGTACTACTCTTTCATAAGTTTGCCTTATAATAGTGGACATCCTTTGTTTCATAGAGTCAGTAGTGGTAAATTGATGTTTAATGCAACAGAGTAGGGGAGAGTGGGGTAAGTTGAGCCACCCCCTGTTGCTTGGAAATGGTAAAAGAAATTGATTATGTGACCACAGCTCAACTTACCCCGCTCCTATGGTCAACTTACCCCATACACGGGGTAAGTTGACCATAGGAGACCACTTTTTTTGGCATGCTTTATTATCAAAACAGTTATATTTACACTCATTTTGTTGTTTTGCAGGGATGCACAACATTTTGAAATATATGCAGATGCACTAGTTAGAGACAAAACTATGTTTGTCTTGATGTAGTGATCCGAAATATGAAAAATGGCTCATCTTACCCCACTTTCCCCTCCCACTGACCTATAAAGTTTGTGTGCTTATTGTCCAGGAGAAGAAGCAGCCACCTGTGAACAGTGATGTTGCTGCATTTGCATCCAGAGCAAAGGTGGTTTATCCCATAAACCAAAAGTACAGAGTAAGTTATCATAAATACAACGCGTTTTGTTTTTTAAGAATAAGAATATATCCGTAAAGAAACAGTTCAAAGGTAGCCAAACTATGACACACATAATGCATATAATGCAATAAGATTAATTAAACTATTTCATCAGTTGTTTTTTGATTTTATCTTACTTAGAGTATGTAAGTTGTCCTAAACACTGCCAAACAAGAAACTGAAATTACACTCACATCATTCATGCAGCCTCTTGTTCTTCTGCCAGCCACTTGCAGATGGAGCATCCAATCCATCACTACACGAGCACTCCAAGTTGCCTGCCATGCCCAATGAGGACTCCTCCTCTTCTACAGATGGGGAGTCTCTGAGCCAAGAGCAGGATAATGATGGCAGCAGCCAGTTCATCTCCTCCTCGTTGGTTCCCAAAAGCCTGCAAAACCAGAGTTTCACTCGGGTCTCTCACTACCCTCACACACTGACAAAACCAGGGTATGTCCCAGTAGCCTCCAAATGTTAAACAAAAACCTAAAATCTTCACCGAGTCTTCACAAGCAAGAGTATGTTGGAAGTGAGCTTTCTTTTATCTCTGTAGGTTTGAAGGTAGAATCAGCCTTTACTGTTTGGCCCTGCAGAATATACAACAACATTGCTCCCAGCTTCAGGAAGAAAAATATCTGGTTGGTTTGGACAGTTTCCTTCATAAAAATAGTAAAAAATAAAATATAAGCACAGGAAAATCAAATGTAAGTTCTGCCCCCCCTTTTACTTTTTCTGCTATAGGTATTTCTTCAGATTGTGAAATTAATTTGCAGCCACCGTTTTCCAAAAGACAAAAACCATGCAGACATCTCCAAAAATATTTTTCAAATGCAAGAAAAGGTAAGATCTGAATTCTATAACCAGCAAATTGCTTTTTTTTAAACACATCAAATGTCCTTTGTTCTTTATGTAAAAAATTCACAATTTATTTTTATTTTTTTCTTGATTGACTTATCACAGAAAGCTGATGTTTAGATGATGAGTCGGACAAAATTATGTTGTCATGTCATTTTAGGAACTGAACGAACTGAAGAAACAGTTGCCAACAGGCCATACTCACAGCAATAAAAATGATGATTTTCCCTGTACGTTGGAGGAGATCGAGAGGTCTCAGAAAGATCTTGTTGAACACGGCCTTCAAGTGGTAAACACAGAGCAGAAAAGATAGTAAAAATAAACATTTATGCTATTTCCAACAGTATACTCTTTTTTTTTTAAATCAATTTTACTTACACTATCACTTCACAGTCCAGACGTTTCAGCAAACAGGTGGAGGACTTGTGCCAGCAGTTGTTAAAGAAAAGCAGCATTCTCCCTCCAGATGAAGCCCAGGAGTTGATTCACTCTCTTACTCAGACTCTTGTGGTAGTAGAGAACCACCTGACGAACGCACAAGAAGCAGAGTTAAAGGTAAGCTAATACTATCAGTGATTTGCATAAACCTATTTTTTATGCCAGACATCCCTAAAGACAAACATGTATATCCGTTCTTTTCCACTTCTTTCAGAGGATCCAGCAGAAGTTGTTGTGGTGGGAGGAACTGACAGGGCTTCTTCAGTCCCAGCCTGCCCTACTTAAGCGAGAGGTGGCGCTGACGCAGGGCTTGATAGCAACAACGCTGGAGCAGCTGACGAGTGATGATGTATTGACTTTCAGCCAAATGGAAAAGATCCTCTCTGAAGTTCATGCAACTCTGACTGAAGGCCTCCAGCAGTGCACTGAGGGTGAGTTGCACGATCAAAATGATTCCAGTTTTAATCAACTACAAGAAAATATTTGATGAAAAGACAAGACAGTAGACAAAAGCCAGACCACATGTTGTTGCAACCATCTTGTGTGTTGAACAAGGACCAATTTAAAAAAGGTCTGCACATATATATTAAATGTGTGTTATAGTTCACACTGTATTCAGCTCATTTTTATGTAAAAGGTAGCAATGAATCATGTGTAGCCTACTTTGCTGACTTAAATGACATACTCTCTCAAAATAGATCGCTTTCTGGGAATCTTCCTTCACTGCTTAAACAAGGCCAGGATCTGAGGACAGCAGACTGCTTTATATCTGTTACTGCATCTTTAACACTCACACACAGAGTATTCATAGTTGCAGGAATTATTTCTGTGGTTTAAGATGTGTAATAAAACACATGTTATTTAAGGTCAAAATGAGTTTAAAAAAGACTGTTTCTTTGGGCTTATGCAATAGACTTAAATAGTACTCAAATAGACTTCAAGTACACATGTTAATTAATAATGACAAAAACTTTTGAATTATTATAACTTTTGGTAGATTAATTTGCCTTTTGATCAGCTGTATAAAAAAGGTCATCACAAGAACCTCACTAGTTGGTTAATATTAAACTCTGTGTGTATTGTTGCTCACCTGCTTTTTATGTGTTAATGTAATCCAAGTCCATGAACACTTAGACCATAGCCGTCCAGCAGCCTTTATAAACTGGATGCTGTTTTTAAAATGCTTAACTGGTCCAGCTTATCCCAGTGTGGACTTATCATGTTTCAGATTGCACAAAGAAGACAAAAGAGCTGGTGGATGACAAGTGCAGCAGATTGGATTCCAAGAGGAAGAAACTTTTAAGAAGCCAGACTAAGGAGAAGAGTTGTACCCTGGAACTGATGCAGAATTACACAGACCTACAGCAGCTCACCAAGGTAGAAAAATGTGCTTCCAGCTCTTCAACATAAAAATGGAGAAGGCTATAACAGTTTCACTGTAGCAGTTGAACAAATTGAAAGACAGAATTGAGACCATGTTGGTTCAAACCATCGTTGTTGGTTTTCAGATTGTTACTCTAAACTTTGTGTAGAGTGTATTGAAGAAAAAAATTGACGAAGCGGAATCAGAGAAGTATTGTTTGTGTAGATCCATGATTTCTTACCGTCCTCTAGGTGCATCAAGAGCTGCTGATGAAACACAGACAGCAGATTTGTGACTTGGAGCTGCAGCAGGACAACAGGCTGATTGAGGCTGTCGGTGAACATTGGAAGGTGAAAGATCTAGAAGCACTTTAGTTAAATCTGTCTTTTATCACAGAATTGTGTTATTGTATTTCCATTGTTCTTGTGGGTGTTTTTACTCTTTAGAAACTGCGGATCTCCTGGTCAAAGAAGCTCAGAGAGCAAACCAAGGATGTTTTTCTCACCTCTGTCCTTGCTCAGTCGAGTCTCTCCACTGAGCGCTGTGAGGAGCTGTGGTCAGATCTGGAGCAGGAGATGGTTGTACAGCTGCAGCGGGCAGAGTGTGCCACCAAGATGCAACTGGATGACATGAGGGCTCAGCTGGATAAGGATGGACAGGTTGACCACATGTGAAATATGATGCAATACATGAAGCTTCCTGCTTGGTTCTTGGGCCTTCTTGTACTTAAATTCTTCAGTGTGTCTGAAAAGGCTCTTTTTCCTCTGTTAGGTGTGGAGTGAGGAGATGGCTTTGGTTCAGGCCTGTCTCAAACATCTGAGAGAACAGCAGATGAAGATATTACAGGACATGATAGCCAGGCAGAGCTACACACTCAATGGGTAAGCTTGGAAAACCTATGCTCCAAAGTGCTCCTGCAATTTGAAAAGCTGTATTTGACCTAATCCTGCATGAACAGCTTTTGTAAGATACTCTATGATGTGGCCACAATATTGTTGTATTTCTTATCATTTTTCAATAAAAACTATATTCACAGTCAAAACACACATAGTGTTAAGATGAGGCAAGGCAGACCCAACTGTTCTAATTCACTATTTTTACAGTAAAAGCATCAACTTTATGCCAGTTCATTTGTAGTTCCCTTTTTTCTTCCATCTAACTGTCAGTACTGATGTCCAGATGAAAGAGAATGACTGTGTTTTTTATGAGCTTCTTTAAAATAATGGGATGTTTTTCTTTTGTCAGCCAAGTGGGGAGGTTGATAGAGAAGAAACATGAGCACCTGTTGGTGGCGGTGCAGAGGTACTTTGTGGTGAGGCACTTCTGTCTGCACATGCTGAAGGAGATGAGGCTTTCCAAACTGAAGGCCCTCTCTCAAACCGATTTCAGAGCTGAGCTAATGGAAGATCCAAGTAAAAGCCAAACTTGTGTCAATACAACTCTCAAGGTGGGAAAAAAATGCATTTAAATATTAATGCATTTTTTGAATGCACTTAAAAACAAAAAACAAGTTACAAGCCAAGGAAAATACAAAATGTGTCTGGCTAAAGTTGACAGTAGATTGATGCTGCCTCATACTAACCACAGAGCAGCAGTGCCAGCTTAGCAGAGAGACATCTGGGTCCAGAGAGCCAGCTAGTGGGTCACAGCTTCCAGCAGGAGTTCCTGTCTGAGCTGGAAACAGGGACGGAGCTTCTTCAGAGTCATGCTCAGCTGGTGCTGGGCAATGCCCTCAGCCATGCCATCCAGCAGAAGATGGAGACCTCTCATGCTGAGTCACAGACTTCTCTGAAACATGACGACAGCTTAAAGGTAGTTTTTTCCTTGAGGATTATCTCATAAATCTCAGAAGGATTATAATCATCTGTCTAATCATTACTAAAGGTGTATTTGTTTATCCAGTCGTAATCTTTTTGTCCTCATCAGCGCCACCTGATAGAGGCTGCCTCAGAGAGCGTGTATGTGACCAAAGATTCTCTTACTGCACTCGTCCAAAGCTACTATTCCCACCTGCAAGACATTATGACACAGTTACAACAGGATCAGTCAAATGGACATCAGGGTGAGATGAAAAACACGGCACACATGCACATTCACATCTGTATTTACTCAGACACTGAAGTTATTGCTGTGACACCTCTGAGCAAAATGTATTTGATAAATGTGAAGTAGTAAACAAAATCAGTTCTGCATTTGCTGTCTTTGTAAAGTCATGGGAAAACATTGCAGCTACGTTGATGATTGCTAGGATTTGGTTTGCCTTGGTGGTTAACAGGCTGTGACTTATTTATCCGAAGTCTTGTTTTTGAGTTGTCTTAGAGAGAGCTTTCAGCCAGGACAAGCTCAGAATCACAAAGTTTTTTTTTCACTTTGACTCTTTTGAAAATGTTTCTTTCAGAAGTAAACGAGAAAGAAGAGAGCAGCAGCCAGTTGAACAGATCCCTACTAAGAGAGCTGGTCAATTGGGGCAAGAAACCAACTTCCGCTGAGTTTCAACAGAGGTTAGACAGCCGTGCTCCTCTCTGCAGTTTGCATTTGTCTGTGCTATGTAATTTTTCACTCAAATACAATTAACAGGGGAAACTTGGTTTGTTCCTGTTTTCCTTTCAGGGTCGAACTTCAGAAAAGGAAAGTGTTGGAGCAGTCTGAGCTGGAACAGGAAAAGATATACGAGGAACTGAGAAGGAAGAAAGTAGCACAGGATCAAACCATGAAAAAGATCAAAACACAGCTGCAGGTCAGTATGTTTTTAACATGATCTGTAATCTCCCTGACAACAGGTTGATCACTTGATTTAAAAGTTGTGCTTGCATTCTGCAAAAACTTTGCTGGTGTGTCAATCAGGAGGCAGAGGAAAACTTCATAACTGAGGTTGCAGCCTTGGCACGAGTTACCCTCCACTGTCCAGATCCAGAAGACAGCGATGAGGAGAACAACACTGGTAAACACCTCCTTTGAGATGCAAGAGAGAATGTATGAATGCCACACATTTGTCTCTTCTTCACAGTGTCGTATTTCAACAGATACTGAAGGGGCTACTATTCTGGACCTGCTTGCTAGGAACCCAGCTTTGGACCCTGCCTTGAATCCTTCATTGACTCCATCATATGTAGCTCCAGTGGTGAAACCAAAATCAAAGAGACGAGAATGAGATTCTCATCACAGCTGACATGTGAACACAGTAATGTTTACATGCCAATGTAGTTATACTATGTACAAAGTTGATCCTGAATTTTATAATTATTTCCTAAAAAAGTAATGTCCCTGAATCTTTGTTTGGGCCAGTTTAGTAGTTCAGAAAGCAGCGCAGGTGTTGCTTTTACAACAAAGCATCATTCCTGAATTCGTGTAACTGATCTATCCTGTATTATTTTAAATGTTTTGTGTTTTTTTAATGGAAAAATGGAAAGCAGCGCAGGTGTTGCTTTTACAACAAAGCATCATTCCTGAATTCGTGTAACTGATCTATCCTGTATTATTTTAAATGTTTCGTGTTTTTTTAATGGTTTGCTTGAAGGATGTCTCTAAAAAGTGGCAACAATTCCCTTTACTAAATGATATTTTTGTATTTGTCTTAAACTACTCATTGTTGAATGTCTTAAAATGATTTTAAAAAGTGTTCCCTGAGAGTTTTATTCACTTTTTGTCCTTTTTTCCAAACAGTAAATAAAACCATCCCACTTCAAGACTGCCAGTAATTCAGTCATATACCTACACCCACATAGCTTTTCATACCGCAGCCCATTCATTCACTGCATTGATTCCTGAGCTCACAGGGTGATGGATGTGTTGCTCTGTGAGTTGTCAGGTGTATTAGAGATGTCCATTGTGATTGTAGCAGAGTGCTACTACTCAGCGGTGAAAGCTTTGCCCTTCTCCTGTTCTAATGGGGGTTTAAGTACAAGCCTTTATGGCCGATAATGTAGAGTAATGGTGAAAAGTCTGAGAGAGCTGAAGTCTGGCAGACAGATCCATGTGTAGGCAGCAATCTAGCAGGCACTTTGCCCTGGACCCTATGCTTTCCTGTCAGTTTGGAGTTTCACAAGTGTCAATTAGGAAACATCAATATTTAATATGACCTGTAGCCCTGTATTTGCACACATAACCAATTATTTCTATGGTACCTTGAGAAAATACGCTCTTGGACCTGTCCCCCTCACACGCACTGGGATGTCCTGCCAAGAGTGTATGTCTTCTGTAATGTTTCAATCTAAACCTTAAATGTGTTGTTGACTTTGCATGTGTCACTTATCTATAACGAGGGGAAACCGTTTGGATGTGTTTTAGGTCCCTTAGGGGACTGCAGGGACTTGTGGGAAGATGACCTGATTTCTAATTTTCTCCTCTCCTGCCTGGGCTGAGGGCTAGTCGCTGCAACAAACAGAGAAGCCCGTGAAAGGAGTGTGTCAGTATGAGCTGCCCTGAATCTGTTTGGAATACGGCCTCCCTATTCACATAAAGCTGGATTTTCATTGATATTTTGCATGGACGAAGGCGTGACTTTGATAGTCCTTCAGTAGATTCAGGTAAGTGGAAACGCTCCTTATAACTCACCACCTCTACAGCCTTACCTTTAGTGTGATGTAGATAACTTGTATCGCATTTGCTCTGTCTCTCGTCATTGGTGTCCCAGCTGATAAACACAGCGCGGGACTCGAAGAAGAGATAGGTGCACAGTTTAAAAGAAAATGATAGTGTCTTGGGGTTAAAATCCTATCAAATACGCCTGAAAGAAAATAACTAGAAGCGTCCTGGTGTATTCATCGAAGTAACCACTGTTTTTTTCTGTGTAGTAGGCTAGCGTATGCCCCAAAGCTGATAAAAAACAGTCAAGATTAATTGAGGTAAATGTGCGCAGTGAGACGGCGTCATCAGATCAGATGGTCGGTTATTTTAGGGCCTCAGAACAAGGTCGCTTTCCAGATTATCACTCAAAGGGCTTTTTCCATCAGAGAGAGGAAGTCAGGACTACTTTGATCATTTTGATTCATTTCTTCTAGTTTGTTGAATTTGAAACTTGTAGTATTACTGAACTGAGAACTATCAACCAAATTAAAAACGAAACGAATTGTATTTAACACTTTTTTATTGCTTGCTTTCAGGTAATATACTTAATTGGACTTGAATATCACCTACAATCATTTCCTGTCCATTGCCTTTTGTGTCTTTTTTATTATTATGATCATTTTATTTATTATGTAAAGAATTGTAAAGAAAGTGCTCTCCTTTATTTCTCTGCTCCTCTATTCAGGTGAGCAGCCATGGCTAACCTGCAGCAGGAATACCCAGGGGTCCTTCTGGGCATCCTGGAGGAACTGGCCAACATGCGCCAATGGCTGACTTTTCAGGATCTCTGCCGCATGGTCAGCACTCGCTTTGATCTGGAGCACCTCATCGAGCTCAGGAGTTTGTTGTTTGCTGCTGCCAGCCAGGACCCCTGTTTCCCAGCTACCCTCTTCAGGGACCGGGTTTCGACCAGAGGCCAAGGGCTTTCACCCATAGGGGTCGCTGCTGACATTGTAACTATCTTCAATCTCATTCAGATGACAGGTGGGGCTCAAGATGAAAGCCAACCAATGAGAGCACAGACAGTTCTTCCAGTCGACCAATCCCCAGGCCCCAGTCTGCCTGGAATCTATCAGCTGAATATCACTGGTCGAGACAGAGCACGAGCCCACTCTGACTCCAGTGACAGGCCTATCGACCAGCACTTGTTGTTTCCAAGACCAAGCTACTCAGCCCGTAAGAGAGCAAGTCTTCCCCCTGATCCAATTTCTCTTGTGTCTCCTCCTCCAATCAGAGCGAGGGCTGTATCTTTTGACTTGCCTCACACAACACTCCTGTACCCTAGTGGTCAAATCCCTAACGAAGTAATGAAGAATATCTACCTGCCTCTAGAAACAGACAGTGAGTCAAGTGGAGATTCTGCACCCATGGAGGTGTTTGAAGATGAACAAGGATCATCTGTCGACCAGAAGAGAAACATCTTCAGGAAGGACTTCCATAACCAACCACCTCTGATACCCCAGGTGACTGTTAGCAGTGAGTCTCCAAGTCCCAATAAGGCGAAAGGATTTGATAATCACAGCTTTGAAGCAATCCCAAATCCGTACCCGTCACCTACGGTAATCCAACAAACACCAGAGCAGCGGGCTAAACATGAGAGCCTTGATGACCTACAGGACTCAACTTACTTTGGACCTGGGTCAATCCCAGAGTGGTCCCCTCGACACCTTCAACCTCCCAGAACCAAGAAGGCCATTTGGAGCAACAAGAGTCACAGCCTTGAGGACCGGATAGGCTCAGGCAGTGTTGGAATGGGAATGGAGTCGCAAGGGGGGCAACTTCCAAGGCGATCAACCCCAGCGATCAGCAATTTGCGGGGGTTGTCAATGGGTGAGACTTTGGATAGTGAATTTCCAAGAGCAAGTGACGGGGTCAAGGCTAAGGGAACCCAGACAGACCCACCAGATACCCGGCGACTTCGCAGCCTGGTCCATGCAGATCGCCTCTCTTTCATGACCTCATTAGATGACCCTGAGTTTGGTGAGGATGACATCAGTGCCATCTTTCGCTTTTTAGACGATATAAGTATGTGTGGCTCCACGGGGGTCCTGCACCCCAGTGACGGCTCAGCAGCTATTAATCAGGACACTCCTGAGGCCAGGCGTGGACGCCTGGGTCAACTCCAAAGACTCTTTCACTCACTAGAAAGCAGTGACGATGGACTCAAAGCCAGTGTCTGTAAGCTGCTGCTCCGTATGAGCCAGATTGAAAGACAGCTGGAGTCCCTGAATGATGTAAAGGCTGAGATCTCTCAGGTGCTGTCCGCTCTGCAGCGACTAGATGACAAGATCCAGCAGCCGCTTAATGCTGGCGGACAGAATACTGGTGGGCGATGGCTGGAGCCTCTCAGTGGTGTTTCCTCTTTTATGAGTCACCCACTTACCCCCTCAGAGTCGTCAGAGCCCCAGCCGCTGTCTGCTTCTGGGCATTTATTTCCAGCAACTAGCACTAGTAGTCTTGACTGGAGCCGGTGGAACACTCCCGCAGAGCAAACAGAAAGCAGCAAGGCTCAGGTTGATTCAAAGGGGAGGAAAGAAGGAAAGAAGGATGCATCATCACGTCGTGCCTCCAAAACCCAGCCTGAAGAGAAGAGTGTGTCTGAATCCAAACAGCTGCATGTTACCAATTCTGCAAGAGACTGGACGGTATCATTCTCAAAGAGTAAAGATGGCAAACCCTTACATGGACAGGTAGAGTAATTATGCTGTTTCTCTTTTTAGTCTGTGATGCAGGAAAATAGTTTTCTTGATGAGGGGCAATATTTCTCACCAGTAATCATCAGTCCTTAAACAAATTTACCTGAAACTCATTTGGAAGGCAATATCTAAGTCCTTGCATTACATAAATTTCCATGCTTTGGAAGCTCAAACTATGCAGCCGCTCTGTGGTTGGCTGGGTAGACATATCAATTATGTGGTTGACAAGCTAATCAGGCCAATTTGTGGAGTAATGCTTTAATTAAACCCTCTCTAGTCAGGGTTTCAAAGAAACACAGCTCATCCATTAAAATCCCAATGGTAGAAGGTTATTTTTTTATTGATGCAACTACTAATAAATGCCTTGCTTGATCTGACAACATTTTTAAGGTCAGCTACTTTCATTAATACAGTTCATCATAGATTACATTTATTTCTTTCTCTTTTCTCCTAGGCAGATCAGTCAAGCAGCACAACAAACCTACTCGCCAAAAAGTCCTCCAACCTAGTGGAACAAGTATTCAATTCATCCTTGTTCCGCCAAAAAGACAGCAGCCTGACAGGTGGGCTGACCTCTGGAAAGATCATAGACCCCAGACTGGCTGAGGGGAGGGGAAGACCCATTTGGACTGTAGATGACAGGGAGGCACGAATCTCCCCTCTGGACTTACAGGTAAGATTTTCTCACACTTAGTATGAGTGTTTCATAAATACTTTATCACGCTTTGGTTCGTGTTCTATCTTTTGTATAAAGTCAGGGGTTACGCGAGTACTTAACATTTCACTTAAAATCTTAATCTTGCCCAGGTTCAATTTTATATGAGGCTGTATAGGCTTTAAAAATCTTGATCATGTTCCTCAGGGACAGGAGTCTCTGAACCCCAACAACATGGAGTTCTGGATGGACGACATCTATACACCAGGCTATGACGGTCTGCTGAGGCGTAAGGAGGCTGACCTCCGCCGGGCAAAATACTGCAAGCTGATAGCACTCATTGCTATTGTAGTGATCATCATTCTCATAATCGTCATTCCTGTTTGCACCATGGCAACATGAGAACCCATACAGTGAGCCTAGTTTTTTTTTTTCTTTTTTTTGCCTGTTTTCATTTTATATTGTGAACTGTCAGTAATCAGCAGCTGTGCTGTACCCAGGAGCTTGAGTAGATGAGCAACTAAAATATTTGGCCCAGTAAAACTGGACGTTAGAGTAAACAAAGGGACTCAAAGCTACTTAAAATTACATTCTCTTTCTGAATCAAATGAAATTGTGAGTAGTATTTAATGCAGTTGTATCTTTTATTTCCCATCCTTTATTTTATGTCACAGATGTTTTTAAACCATTTAAAATTATATCTGCAGAGTTATGCTGTTACTATTAAGTAATACTGAGCCAATACAAAAGTGTCAACTTCCCTTCTTTTCATTTTGTCTGCTCTTTTCCGGAGAAAAATCACTTTATCATATTCTTTTTTTAATCATCTGCTGCCTGAAGCACTGCCTGTTTGACTCTTGCTGACTTCTTAGTGATTCTTTTCAAACAAAACAGAGCTTTTTACACATCAGTGTAAGGTAATCCTTTTACTAGTCCATAATTGTTTCACTAAAAACATTTTATAACTACAATAGAAATGGATTCTGTGAATAGGAGAGATAACATACTGGCCCAATTTGCATATTCTTGTCCTTCCTTTAAAAAACACAAAGTATACTGCTTGAACAAGCTTCAGGTAATAAAATATATTTTTATAGAGTTCCTTCCCATTTTCAAACTCTTAAGTTATAAACTGTTAGATCCACTCATGAAAGTGTTAGGCTGCCGTGTTTACTTGGTGTCAGGTTTCCAGAATGGCGGATAAATATCCTGTTGTTGTGAGAGCATTGAAAGAAAGATGGATCCTTTTCCAGTAAACACTCTCTGAGAAGGATATCCCTCCTGTAATTCAATTGATGGGATGTTTTGAGTGCACCTATGCACATTATCTTTGCACTACACACTTACTTCACTAGAGGTCTCTCACATATTTGCAGACCAACTTAGCGCCGATAGATTCATATGGTGTCTCTTTCACAGTGGATTAAAGTAGTTTTTTTCCAGCTGTGTGACATTCCATTTTGTAAAAACATCCTGTTAACTCAGGCCACATTATATTTGGATTGACTTTTGGTGCCAGACTATAAAATACGCAGAGGGGTTGACACAAAACATGAAATGGAATATTAGCTCATGAAAACAAATCTTTTTAAAGCTTGTGATGCCCATACTTTGTAAAGATCCAAGCAAGAAGAAGACATTTGGACATATTTTGGTTGTAATGCAATGAAAAATTGTTATTTCAGTGTTTCCCCAAGAAGAGACACCCTTCACAGTTTGTAATAATTGAACCCAATCCCATCAATGCTTTTATGTCTTGCAGAAAAAAACTGCTTTCTATTGCATGGTATTTTCTGGGTTGATATATTTTCTGTCAGCATTGCTTAAAACAGCTGATTTTTTTTCAAGTTTTCAAAAAGCACCTTTTCAACTGATAGAGTTTACACCAAAGTGTATAGAAACTATGCATACCATGGGGAAAATCTTTTAACACTTGTTTTCATTCATTTTTTTCAAGACTCTTCGCTTTGCATTGTGTGCACAAATACACACAGGATGTATAGAGGGTGTATTCTGCTTAAATGCATCCTCCTAAGTAGATGACTATCTGCCAAGCATTTCCCATGAGGCTGTTTGTGGATCCATTACCCCTGTCAATGGTGCCACTATGGAGGCTGAACCCGGTAGTAAGCACAATCTGTGTGTGCTTCCTCTCAAACTTCAGTGCATTAGAGCCTCCTAATACTTTTTACACTCCTGAAATGCACTTGAAATGAAATTTGAACTATGTTGTTGTTGTTGTTTTATTCTTGCACTTTTTACACAAACAGCCACAAATCTGTGAAGTCATTATTCAGGTCAGCACAGTGTGACCTACATAGGCTTGTAAATGAATGGAAAATGTGCAGATATCACAGTACATGTTACTGTTGTGCAATGCTTTATATGACTGCAGGGTTTTTGCTGACTTATGTTGCCTGTCTGAATAAATTTGGCAAAGTGGTAACGTGCCTTTATAGAATATATTATACTATGTGAGAAACAATAAAGCAAGATCTTATTGCTCAGTGTTATGACAAACATGCATAAAACATTATGGTGCTTGTAAAAATGTCTCCTCAAATCACCCTGTCTCATTTGTAATATTAATTATTTCCCATTACATTCTCATTACTTGGTTGATGCCAGATTACTCTTGCAGGGAGCACTTATGCAAGTAAAGGGGGGGACAAAATCAGTGTTGTCTAAAACAGAGTTCTGACAGATTAATGACCAGTGGATGGAGTGGACATATACAGGGATGAATAATTGATAAAGAAAAAGAGTACTTATTGACTGTCAGATCCTATTATCACAAATCAGCTCTAAAGGACTTTTCAGATCACATTTTCTGGGAAGAAGTAATACTCGGATATACTGACATTGCAACATAAAAAACGCTGGTCTTCAGTTGTCTTTCTGAAGTGAATTGGTGGCAAACAGTTTTACACAGTTTTTAAATGGTTTTCAGCTGAATAAGTATGTACATGTGAGATACCATGAGGGGTTTTTACAGTATTGAATTACTACTGCACCCTAATATACTATCAGTGGCAGATAAGGGAAGCTGTTTTGCACATCTCAAATGCAACAGCAACAAAAAAGACATGTTTTAAGGGTCTGTGTGATTGTTACTTAAAATTACACAATATAATATTTCATATCCTCACAGGTTACTTAAGAGGGAGCACATTACTCCCACCCTGGCCTCCCTCCACTGGTTACCTGTGCATTTTAGAATTCATTTTAAGATTCTTTTATTTGTTTTTAAATTTTTAAATGGTCTGGCTCCATCTTACCTCTCTGAGCTTCTCCACCCCTACACCCCTGCTCGGTGCCTCAGGTCAGCTGATCAGCTGCTCCTGGAGGTACCGAGGTGCAAACTGAAGTTCAGAGGGGATAGATCTTTTTCTGTTGCGGCCCCAAAATTATGGAACGAGCTACCCCTCTAAGTCAGACAAGCCCCCACACTGTCCATTTTTAAAACTCGTCTTAAAACCCATTTTTATTCATTGGCTTTCAACCCTGCATGAGACTCAGCTCCTGTTTTAGTGTTTTATGGTTTGTTTTTAGTTATTTGTTTCTATTGTTTTTAAATTAGTTTTTAAAAACATTGAAACTATATTTTACTTTTTAATATCTGTTTTTATTTTATCAATTGTTTTAATTGTTTTTTTAATTGTTTTAGATAGATAAAACAAGATTGTTTTGTCTATTTACGTTCAGCACTTTGTTCAGCTGTGGTTGTTTTAAAGTGCTTTACAAATAAAGTTAAGTTGAGTTGAATTGAGATTAGAGGGAAGGCTGGAAAGATTCATGCAATCTTGTCTTGTCGACTGATTATTGTAGCCATGAAGCTATGTATAGCTACAGATTTTGCTATTATTGTTTCGTAAATTATTATCAAAATTAACACTTTTTATTTACAGTAATTATGTTTCACAAGTTAATTAAATATATTTTTCTGTCCTTATTTAGAGATGCATCTTTAATTTCATACTGTACTGTTAAATTTTGTTAAATTGCATTTGTGTTTTGGGGAACTGTAAAGAAACTTCTGGTCACAAGCCCCCGTAGTTACACCTCTAGACCGGTAGGGGCGATAGAGCGTCCCTACTTCCGCTCCAGCAGCTCACGAAGAAGAAAGCGGCGCTGTTTTTGAACTTTGAAGAAGAATGTGCAAACTTTCTCAGCAGGCAGGTGTGGCAGCTCTGCTGGTGCGGAGTTAGGAATAAACTCTAACATCTAACTGTAACATCGAAAGTTGTTACATTATATTCCAGCCGCGCCTTCACAGGAACATTTAGTCCAGGTATGTGTTTTGTTTATATTGTTTTGACGATTGGTAACGTTAGAAAAGTCAGCGCTGAACTGCTAATGCTAATGATCACAGTCTAGTAGCTTTGAGTGAAGTTAACCCTGGAGTTAGATTGATGTACCTGGATGCATGTTAGGTAGGCTACACGTTTTTTTTTTGTTTTAACAGGCCCTGTTGACGCCTGAATATGGGTATCAAAATACAAAATGCGTAGCCGTTTTGTCATTAAACGTGCCTGTTCGTTTTATTTTGCTCGTAGAAGGTTAGAGATAGCATAACAGACACTGGAGTCTTGAGTGTCGGAATGTACTCCTTATTCAGTACCGTTTCAGAACAGGGTTAAAATGAACGATATCACCAGGTTCAAGAAGCTTTAACTAGCGTAAGACAGTTATGAACCTCCCTCTCTATCTTTCATATTCACTCTGACCCAGCTGCAGTGAGGCACGATGGATCCGTCTGCAGTGAACCTGTTCAACCTGTTCCAGAGTCTCAGAGCCCAGGTCGATGGACTGAATGAGAGCATTGAACCACGTAAGATATTTCCACACTCTCTTTCGGTATTTGTCCCATTTTAGTGGCCTGGAAATACCTTTGTTGTAGTTAAGGCTGGTTGTTGTTGTGTGGTGTATAGGGGAGAGTGGGGTAAGTTGAGCCAAAGGGTAAGTTGAGCCACCCCCTGTTGCTTAGAAATGGTAAAAGAAATTGATCATGTGACCAAATATTTAGGAGATGGGCATCGATTCATGGAGTCTGTGAAGGTTAGAAGCACAGGTGAAGGGATTAGACATTTATTAAAAAAAACAAAAACATTTTCCACTCTTAAAAGTGAATTTAGTCTGTCATAAGTTTTATTAGAATTGTGTTCAGACCAAAAAAGATCATTTTAAATTTGTTTTTCTACATCAATTTCATCATGTTTTACTGAATCATCTATGTCCCCCTGTTTTTAATCTGTTCCTGTGTCTTGTTTTATTGTTTCATGTTAATAGTCTGGTTCTTTTTATTTTGTTTTTAATTTTACTGTACAGCACTTTAGTCAGCACTTTGTTGTTTTTAAATGTGCTATATAAATAAACCTGGATTGGATTGATTTGATCAACTGTGGTATCTATGAGGTCAAAAACCTAACATAAAAGTCCACCATTTTAGCGTAGAGGACTAATAAAGTCATAATTGTAGTTCTGGGGTAAGTTGATCCAGTGGCTCATCTGAGAAAGTAAAGGAGTCTGATGAGAGGATCAGAGTTTCAGTTCAGATTGTTGAAATGTGTTACTTTTTCTTTTCAAAAATACAGCTGTGAATGTTCTGAATCACTTGAAGACATTCTCATGTTAAAATGGCTTTTTACAAAACAGCTTTTTAGCAGTTATATGCAATAATAATAAAAAGAATTATTGTACCAGTTGAATAGTGTATAATAGATAAAAATACACATGAATGTGAAGAAGTGACTGTTATTTAGGGAGAGAGAAGGTGAGAGAGGGCTGGGGTGGAGAGTGGGGGTAGCAGGAACACGGCTCAACTTACCCTGCTCCTATGGTCAACTTACCCCATACACGGGGTAAGTTGACCATAGGAGACCACTTTTTTTGGCATGCTGTATTATCAAGACAGTTATGTTTACACTCATTCTGTTGGTTTGCAGGGATGCACAACATTTTGAAATATATGCAGATAGACTAGTTAGACAAAACTATGTTTGTCTTGATGTAGTGATCCAAAATATCTCATCTCACCCCATTATCTTACATCTTACCCCACTCTCCCCGACTCATCACAAAATGTCTTGCCCTGTAACCAGACTCAGACTGTAACCAGCATAGAGCCCATTCTTGAACAGAACAAAGGGACCGAACTATAGACATGATGCAGCCCGTAGTACAAAAATTTGGCTAAATTTGCAATTAGTGTGCAAAACAAAGTCCACCCAAATAGCCTTGATCACTTCAAGCACTTGTGGAGGACAGAAGAATATAGTTTGTTGAGAGCACTGACATGAACTCCTCCCATCCTCTCTTTTCTTCTAATTTAGAGTTCCTCCTGATGGCTAGAAACTTTGAGGACTGCCGTAAGAAGTGGCTGCGAACAGATGAGGAGCTTGTGTCCTGTAAGGAGGTGCTCGCTAAAGCAGAGACTGAGAAGGGCTCCCTGGAGGTCAAACTTAAGCATGCTCGCAATCAGGTGGATGTGGAGATCCGTCGAAGGCAGAAAGCTGAGGCTGTCTATGAGAAGCTGGTTGGTGCAATGCTGCTTTATAAATCTTTTATATTAACAGAAGTTTCTGGGATACGTACCAAAGTAGAAAAAGAGGAAGGTTCGTTATGGATCATTATTTCATGAACTTTTCTGCATCTGTCTATGTTTATGCTCAAACAGGAACGCCAACTACAGCTGATCCGGGAACTGCTGATATCAGAAAACAATGGCAGTGTCCACCTGAGTGAGGAGCAGCGCTCTGCACTGGCCTTCCTCAGTGCTCACTCCCAGGCTGCACAAGCTGCTAGAGGCAACCTCAACACAAGTCGAAGGTCAGACCCTCCTCATGTGTATCGTAATGAAAGAGGTGCAATTAACTCTTTTTTTTGTCCACAGTCCAGGCCCGTATCCTATCTTAAGTGGTTGTTCTGGAGAGTTTAGCACTGTCTGGACTTATTTAACTATCTTTTTCTTACCTGTTTACAGGGACAGCATACAAACCAGTATACTTTATTAAAAAGAATTTGATATAGGACATTTTAATTCTTATAATAAAGTTTGTTTTATTCCATTTATTGAAGACCTCAAACCAATTTTACAGGTTAACCACCATTGATGAATCAGCTTCTTTGATTTCTGATATCAGCTATGACCAAACAGACGACTCTCTGGTAGGTTGACCCATTGAAAAGTAAGCAGAGGATTGTTGAGACCCGGTGTTTTAAGCGCTTCTGTTTAACTGTTCACTTTTTCTTTAGGACTGGGACTCCTCTGTGATGAAGACTGTGAGGCTGAGGAAACGTCAGAAACGAGTGAGTCCACGAATGACTAATGCATCACGATTAAGCGATTTAAAAAATATATTTACTATACTAATCAGTTTGAGTGATGTGTTTCTGTACGCAACTCTGGTAAAGTTCTCAGCAGCCAATCCATAAAGTAGTGTTTATAAAAGTTAAAATACACTTTGATCCACAGCGTTCCTCCAGAAAACTCCAGGATGTTCCTCCACAGGCTGTGAAGAAACCTCGCTCCACTGGACGCACATCAGAAAGGGTAATACTGACCTCTACTGATGAGTTAGCTGTATAACACCATCAGCTTTTTGTGATAAAATTCCTTCATCAAAACAGGGATACCAACTGACTAGACCTTTAAAAGCAGCTCAAACTGTCACTGGTTTTGTTGATTATCTACATTTTTTTCACTTGACCCAGATGAATGAGTCTATAGTGGCTAAAACCACTATAACTATGCCTGTGAATGGTGGGGCTGTTGAGGCTGTCTCCACCATCGAAACTGTGCCTTACTGGACACGCAGCAGAAGGAGCGGTGAGAATGCCAAACACTTCCTTTTTCATCCTCTTACCACAAAAATACAATTTTAGTTTTGTAATTTTACCATCATGCACTTGTGTCTACAGCCGCTTTAGCATGGGCGGATACAACCACTACTGATCAATCAGAGACAGCCAGTGAGGCTCCCTGCACACCAGTCTCTGAGTTCCCAGCCAAATTTCAAACCCCCAAAACTAATGGAGGAGGAAAGAAACACCAGTTCATCGCCAAAACAGTAAGACAGCACGCTCTGTGGTGACATTTAAGTGTTTTGAAATTGGACTTGGGTGCTTCTTTTTGAAGTGTTGAGGTGCTGAGGTGTCTACTTTTTTTCGGGAACTTCATCCCAAAGGTGATAAAGTCTGAGTTCTGTGGACCTTGTGGAAGACGAACAAAGTTTGGAAAGATGGTCCTCCGCTGCCAGAATTGTAGGGTTGTGACCCACCCGGAGTGTCGTGACCGTTGTCCCCTGCCTTGTAACCCCACAGCTGTTAGCACTCCCATCAGGAACGCAGAGGTATGTGTCTCCCATTGTTTAGTGTTTTATTTTAACTTCTAAGTTGTGTATTTTCCCTGTCACCTGAATTAACATCGATCAATTTTATTTGCAGAGCACGTTGGCTGACTTTGCTCCTGTCACTTCACCAAAAATCCCGCCTCTGGTTATCTACTGTATTAAAGAAATCGAACACAGAGGTCTACATGAGGTAAATCAACCTTAATTCAAGCCCTTTGTTTATTTGTCACCCTTATGCTTTGCCTCGATCCATTTTCCCATGACCCTTTGCTGCAGATAATTTCTCTCTAATTAGTTATCTCTTTCAGCGGTACGGTATCACAGGCAGCCAGACAATAAAGGCTGGTTTCTTTTATCTCCTCCTCACCCAGGTTGGCTTGTACAGAGTCTCTGGCCATGAGCGCTTGGTGAAGGAGCTGAAGGAGAAGCTGATTAGAGGAAAGACCCTGCCTGCTCTCAGCAAAGTAGAGGATATCAATGTCATTACAGGTGTCCTCAAAGACTTCCTCAGAAAGCTTCCAGAGCCGCTGCTCACCTTCAGCCTCAACAAAGCCTTCATGGAGGCAGCGGGTAAGTTTGTGAGATGTATAAAATCGCACAAGAAGGAGTGATGCATGTGCCGTAGTTTTTATGTAAATGCATTCTTTTGAGAACAAGTATTTTAAAGTTAGGGAAATGCTGGTGGAGGGAACAGACAAACAGTATTCATAATACAAAACTGTATTTTTGCAGAAATCCAGGATGAAGACAATAGTCTTGCCATGCTGTATCACACCATCAGTGAGCTGCCTCAACCTAACCGAGACACCATGGCCTGCCTGATGATCCATCTACAAAAGTAATCTTCTTGTGTTTCAGCAGGGCTAAGACATGTTTTCTCTTTGACTTTCCAGTCATTAGACATGTTTGTGTAATACACAAGTTGGAAACATTTTTCGAGAAAACAGAGAGCATCCTCGTTTAATTTCTGAATCATGGATGAACTTCATGCTAGTCTAGAGTGTATTGAAATCTTACCATCCTCCCCTTTTCCAGAGTCTCTCGGTGTGTAGACACTAAGATGGATGTGAAGAACCTGGCCAGAGTGTTTGGGCCTACTCTTGTGGGACACGCTGTTCCAGATCCAGATCCTATGACCATCCTGCATGACACAAACAGACAACCAAGGGTAAACTATTGAGAATGAAGAATAACTCTGACCGTAAAAATCACTTTATTGGTCATCTAATGTTTAGAAACAGCCTGTTGCATTAACATGAGAATCCGTATGTGCTCACCTGTACTTTAAGATCAGTGCATCAATTCTCAAGTTTTTAGTTCCCTTACTTCTTTGATTTTAAGAATAAAAGCAGGATCGATTTGATATGTCTCTAGGTTATTGAGCGCCTGCTCAGTATTCCAGCAAGCTACTGGAGCCAGTTTGCTTATCCAGATAATGCAGGCATGGACAACGCTCACCGTACTGAAACTCCAGACCACAGAGGTGAGACACTGATAAGAAATTACAGTTACTCAAAATAAATGGCAGGAGTACAAAATTATGCTCAAATACGTTATTAAGAAAACAGCATCTTTAGTGTACAAATGTCAAAACTGCACTGTGGGAAACTTCTAATGTATTGATTGATATTTGATTTGTAGTGAGCATGTTGGGACCAGTGACCACTCCAGAGCACCAGATGATGTCCAAAACACCGTCCTCCAGCTCTCTCTCTCAGCGCATGATGCAGACTCTGTCCAGCACCACCTTGTAAGCTCACTCACACTCATACACCCTATTGATGTCAGGATCTTCAAATACCATTTGAAACACCATGAACATACCAAATATCATGAACATTTTTTCAAAAAAAGTAGACAGAAGAACTTATGCTCAGTAAAATATTGCCACAAGGGACCTTAAAGTTTCTGTCCAGTCATCTGTAATTATTATAGATCGTCAAAATACAAGATAGATAATTGGTAAAACCAATATCATGAATATTCCCTTTAACCTATGCACATTTCAATCTAATATTCATGGTTATCTTAGCTGCTAAACTGTTTTATGTTTTTTTTTTATTTATGAAATAGAGAAATACATTAAGTAATGCTATAGATCTCAAAATAAGAGGCCATATTTAACAGCATTTATGAATGTACATTTAACCCCACCAAGTGACTGTTATTTAGGATGGGAGAATATGGGATAATTTCTCAATTGTCAATGACCAGCCAGATCAGTCAGCCAAATTAAAATGATTCTGAGCATCTTCATAGTTGTCATGACTATTTAGTTTACCAGTTACCCTTACTTAGCTGAAACCTCTACTGTTTGCCCACTGACCCTCTTCCCTTGTCCACCTTTAGATTTGGGAGCAAGAGCAGAGCCACTGCCGCTTGTAACCGCCAGGGCCAATTCTTCGCTTCTCCACAGCTGAAGTAACGGTAAAGGAAGGTTATGAAGGTTACTTTGGTTACTGCACCTCTGGGTCACTAACTGCAATAAAAGCATATATATTTAGATAATCATGTGAAACTAAAACTACTGTGCAATTATAGTGTGTAACAGTTTAATTACTGAGTTTAAGTGTTTTATGCAAAAGTGTTCTAACCAGTTTTTTTAAGTGCTATTTTTTTAATGATTTTGATTCTTTGATAATTAATGATTTATTAATGACCAAAACCGCTGCAACATCTCTGTGATTGTATGAAGTCTGAAGGTTTTAATGACCAAATAACCACCTTAATGCTCAGAGGGGATAAATTTCACGCTCTAATCTAATGTTAAAAAAACTATGCATTCCCCAGTGATAGATCTATAAACCTGTGGTTTTAACTGCAGTGTCTGTAGTGTCTGAGCACATGTGAAATACTCCGATGCAACAGGGAAAGATGACACATATCATTTTTGACCAGCCAGTGTCTCTCTTTGTCTTTTAGCTGTAGTCGCCTTGTCATGAAACTAACAACTTATTTTTCTTGTTAGGGTTTAACATTTTTCTTTTTTTATGTGGATTGCATGCTGTGACAATATAAAAATCATGATGATATATTGTTTAACAATACTGTTATGTTACTCAAAAAAAGTTATGACACTGAATGGGAATGATGTTGCATTTTGCACTGTATCTATGTGACAACCTGAGGAAAAGTGTTTTCTACCTGGGAGTTCTCACCACTAGAGGTCGCTGTTGCACCACTTTTGAAAAGCAAGCCATAAATAATGATGAGTGTCTACTGTAAATTATGCACACTAACAGTCAGTATTACTGACAGAAATTGTTTTATATTATGTAACCAGTGAAAATATTGTGATTCTCTAATAAGCCAAAGATTCAATATAACATCTCTTTAAAAAACAATTGGAGTTTCTTTGATGTGTAAATATGAAGAGATTTGGATGCACACTCATGGTTTTACGTTTTTGCATCGGCACAAATTTACTTGTACAGTTGCATCATAAATATGCGAAACAAATTCTGCTGTTTCTGGAACGGTTTTCTTGTCTCAGTTGTTCTTATGCTGTCACTCCTTATTAGCTCCAGATTCTAGCAAGATGACATTACTGGTCCAAGTGTTCGCTATTTAACAGAGAGAGGTTCATTTTAATGAATTCATTTCTCACAAAACCAAATATAGTCAACTTTGCTGCCACTGATGAATATTTACACTCTGATAGTGTTGTACTCCAGTTTGACTGTTTTTGATTCATTCTTTGAGTTTATTCATTGTACTGTAGTTGCTTTCACCCAGTATTTTGTGAATGAAATGTTAAAACTCGGTTCTTTGTCTAAGCTCAAATACAATGGTAAAGGTTCATGAGTGAGCTGAAAATAAACATCAGAAGAGTGGCTCTTTTGTCTCTTTTTGGGTGTTGTTTATGTCCCATAAGGGGTGAAGAATCTCCCTGAATGGGTCGCTTGGAGCACGTGAGGCATGCATGTTAAACCTCACATACTGTTCGGGTCAAATTTGACCCGCTTTGACTTTTAACAGCAGTAAAAAATACCCTAAACATCATTTTTTAAGCCTGAAACTTGATGACTTTTCCCGAAGTTGCCCAAAATACATGAAATTAATTTAAAAATATTCATGTGTATTTTTGTTTATGTGCTACAAATTTTTCCCCTCTAAGGCTGTTACGGGTCAAATTTGACCCGTATCTATATTTAGATGGATTTTAGATCTAGCAGTGTGGGACAAGTGACAAACAGTAACAACCGTGTTCAATAAAAGGTTTGTTGTTCAAAAAGATATATTCAAATCATTATGAAACTATTATTACCTTGACAGAAACACACACGCACGCACACAGACATACAGTCACACAGACACACCTAGACAGAGGTCAAACTGACCTAACTAGTCAAGAGAACTTTCTGTGACAGAAAGCTGCTCTTTGAACTCTTTGAAGGGGCAATTTTGACCCGGAACATACTGTGAGGGTACAGGATTTGAACAGTATGTGAGGGTTAAATGTATGGGTTTCGTTGTGAACAGTTTAACCTAAAAATGAAAAAAAAAAAAAGTGTACCTGAAATGGGTAAGTGTTATCTGTGAGAATGCTAATTTTCAGTTCGTTCCGCCTAAAAGCTTCACTCATGTTAAGCACTCTTCATTGTCATTTTTGTGGTGTAAATTGAATATCCCCCCCATTGTTGTTCAAGATCTCGAGTGAAAGAGCATAGAGCAAGTTATTCCAACGCCACCAAATGATAATGCAATTTAGCTCATTGTTCCAATAGTCATTACAGCTACTTCCATAAGCTATTGTGATGAATTGGCTGGGGTGATGTTAAACATCATTATGAATTAAAAGCAAGGATCAGAAATACATCTTATAGTTATTCCATTAACAATGGAGAGCGCTAGACCATGCTGAACCCACCGACATACATTTAGCATGGCCTCATTCAGAAACGCATCAGGCCGAGTGAGATCCAAGCCCAGCTGTTTGTGGGAGAAATGAAAATACAGTGCAAAGTTCAACCAAATAAGTCTGTTCTTCCTCACTCACATACAAAGAGCTGTGGAAAAAGCAGCACAGCAGACCCTCCTCTCTTCTGAAAAAAAAAAAAAGTTTGAATTTCTAATCAACATTAATAGTTCATTAGCCTGAAATAAGGTCTCCTGTGTGTCTATCTGTCCTCTCATCGGGGGATTGTGTGTTTATTTCTGCTGTACGGTGCAGCATACGCTCTCCGGCAGCAGACATCAAACAGCTGGCTGTGTACAGTGTGTCTCTGTAGCTCCATATCCCAGCATGCCCCAGTGTGCAGTGAAAGAGCTCCACTCTGCTGTGGGACCAGTGAGGGCCAAATGAGTAACTAGTCCAATTAAGAGCTCTTAAATAAATTACTATGTAAGCTGGTAAACACACAACAACAACAACAACAACAACAGTACTGTTTAATTCCTCTCGTTATACAGGGAGCTGTGACGCCAGAGGAACAATCTCAATCACTGGGAGCTCAACTTAATCAATACATTATTCAATTCATGTTTGGTTATCGTTGATATTGACTGATTGAAAATAGTCTGTGTGTCACACTAATGTGTAGGCGTTTGCAGTATCGACACAGGCCATTAATGTCAGCGCCACAGAGATGCTAACTCAATAACTGCCAGTAAAATCCACCCATCTGATCATGGATCTAATCAATATGTTTGTTAAAGTCAAAGCTGTGTTAACCAACACACAATCCTTGTTCCATGACTTGTTTTTGTCAAGCTTGTGCTTTTTTAAAAACTGGAACACTCATTTTTTCCCTCATTTTGTCTCCCATTTGCTGCGATTCTGTCGAACCTACTCTCTCATTTGTAAGATTTCGTGGTGTTTTGGGCTCTTCGTCATGTAGATTTGCTTCTAAAATCACATAAAACTGGGCAGAGAAAAAGGAGCAGTTTGTCAGGTTTAGAGATCAAAAGTGTAGTGCTGCATATTTATAAACACGCGGACCAGGACCAAAACAGTGCTTCCTTAGCAGCCTAAGCATGTGCTTGAAAAGTGGTCCTCCAGATTTGTTTCTGACACTGTTTTCGGTGAATTATGTGACAGATTGTGTGATCAATATGCTTTCCATTTGGTGTATTAAAAAGCATCTCTGAAATACCAAACTATGCTCTTGATGAAGCTTATAACAGCCCTAAAAAACAAGACAAGAGTCATTGTCCAATCTACACTCACCTAAAGCTGCTGAGGTTTTTTTGTTCTGCAAATAATTGTTAGGCTTGTTGGCTTTCAGCGCTCTCACTCTCCCACTTTATCTCTTCTTTTTGCTTCATCCCTCGCTCCTACTGTTTTTTTTCTCCTCTCCGCCCCTCCTTTGAATCGAACCGCCGTCTTAGCTGGCTACCGTGAGTGGTCGATACCTTGTTACCACAGAGAAATCAATTATCTCGACCAAGCAGCAGGGGGAAAGAAGCAATAATGAAAGAACGCTCCTCCTTTCCAGACGATAGCCGTGGTCATTAAATATGAATTTATCATTGGCTGAAGAGATTTACGGAGCAAGATATGTGCCCTGGGTTCACGCTCTCCTTACAGCTTAAGTCTAAAGTCTGGTTACAGGTGTAAATTAAGGGGATTACAGTTGTTTGTCAGGCTGATGGTGTAACGTGTTTTGTGGAATAAAGTCACCGCAGATGAATCTGAAATCAGACTTAAAAACCCTCATGAAATAACAAGAATGGCTTCTGATTTGGCCATAGGACACCTTTCAACTGGCCTGTGAGGACAAATGGACCACAAATCATGGTTTATTAGCAGGAAAGTTAGTACGTACTCTTCATCGACAGCCTCATTGATGTCTTGGCACCACTCTCTCTTGTCACTGAACATAGCTGGCAGTGACAGCCAACAGGTTGGTGGCTCGCCAACCATCATACAATCCTTGTTCAGGTTTGTAATGAGCCTTTCTGATGACATGTCTGACAACTGCTGCTAGAAGCGAAAGAAAACCCCACATAACCGGCATCAACACAGCCTGGGAAAAAGGAAGATCATTGTAAACGAAAGAGGGAAAGAGAGGGAGGAGACTGCAAAATGTCTAATTCGGGCTCGCTCTAAAGTCAGCAATAAATTCTGTTTTAATGGGGCACCACAAGCAGCAGCAAGTACTCAGCAGTCTGTTGTGTTTGATGCCAAATTGCGCAGAATAAACAGATTTTCAGTGCAGCTGATTCAAACACACTTTCTCTATGTGTCTCTCTCACCGCTACTGCTTTTTTGAGGTACTCCATTCCCCCCTCCTCCCCCTTCAGGACTTATCAGACAAGATTTAGATGAATCGTCACTGAAGAAAAAAAGGCTTTGCTTCATATACTTTCACTTGACTTAATGCTGTCACCTGCTCAGTTGAGACAGTGTTTGTTTTGACAGGGGTGAGAGTCAGCTGCATGTCACTAATGAGAAACAACACACCACATCTGGATCATTCTCTCCTACGAAGAGGAATCTTTGGCCATCCTGGACATGACTGCAGTGTCTGAGGACTCAGTATTCGTAAACACAGAAGCAAACTAACCTCTCTGTAGGTGACAAGTTGCTGATTAATGTGGCGGATTTTCAAAAATCCCAAACTAGCACCCTGGAGGTACTTAAACTCACAAATAGTTTTTGTCTTTGTGAGGACAACAAAGTTCAGTGTATCTAAAGGAAATTAGGGCAAAGTGTGTAATATCTTATAAAAATCAATAACACACCTTTGTAACGGCACTTTAAGGTCCTGTTGTGCTGCAGAATGGTGCTTTGATTGGAAATCTTATATTTTTCTATTTACCCACAAAGACAATTTAAACTATCCTCTTGTAAAGTACATAGCAGTAAAAGCAGGACAATATACAGTTCAAGACAATGTGATTGGTTTAAAAAAACGACTCATTTGTAAAGTTAGAAAAAACAATACAACATTACACAGACGGGCAGGAATAGCTATTTATCAGTTGCTCTCAAGATGTTTTATGAACATTTAAAACGTCAAAGCTGACCCTGATAAAGGAAAGGAAATCACTCAATAATTATCCATGCTAGAAAATCTTTTGAGACATTTAGGGCTGGATCAAAGTGGTTGTCAAACTAATATTTTCTTGAGCAATGCTGCCAGTAAGGCTTGAAATAACCCTCCAATAATGTTTTCATGCCAGCAGAGTGAGTTCATGGCCTTTTCTGAGACCTGTAAGCACCCTCAGGTACATCCACACCTGCACACCAGTGGCAGCGTGGCATTTTTCCCCTTGGTTTTTTTAAGAGAGGGCTCCATGTGCAAACACACAGTCACACCTGAAATACCTGTGAGCATGCAGCTGGGTGTTTGTGTTTGCCCTCCTGCACGAGTGCATCTGAATTCATGAAATTGAATGTGGCTGTGTGTGCACAGATGCATGTTATGATACAGTCTGAGAGGAGCTGTCTGCATGACTGGTTGAGAGTCTTTATTGAATGTGTGCAGTGACCATGTGTGCAGGTATGTGTGCGCTGCTACCTCAGAATTTAGAATTGTTTTTTTCTGCATGGACAGTTTCAGCTATAAATTCTGTTTCGAGACCTTATATGACATACTTATATCCTTTTGATTTTTAAAAACTCTTTTATGAGTTTCACTTGAAGCATAACTTCACACAACTGACACCATCAACTGATTTATTTCCATTTAAATTAAGTAGCATTAGTGTAGCCATTATAACTAACCTCCTGTTAACAATGTTTAGGCCTTCAACTGTGACAGTTCCCCATGGCAACAAGACATTAGAAACCCTTAACCTCAATCAAATTTCTCTCATCACTACATGACAACTCCTATTTTGATGTGCTTTAAACATCAATAAAGTTAGCTAATTTTATTTGTTTTAGCTCCTAAAAATAGTAATAAGGCCCCTAGAAATAAATCAGCCAGAACAGCTCTTCCAAATGCCTCCTGCAGTTTTTCAGTAAACCACTAGAATGCACTGTTGCACCCTGTAACCCACCTCAGTGTCAGGAAACAGCTCCTCTCTTGCCGAACACACCCATTAATTTTACCTATCTCCACGGCTCTATCGTGTGTGCTTCCCTTGTGGTTAGTAGAGGATGTGAGTGTTACAGTATTGTCAGTATCTGTATCATTTGCACCATTGGAGCTTTTATTTGAACTGATAAAGTTGAGCTTTTCTGAGTCAGCCTGCTCAGGTGACAGGCATTAACATCTACTTCCCCTGGATTTTACCTCCAGGGAGAAATAATAAATTGGGTGGATCAGAGTTCATGCATAAATGTATGCTCGACAGCCATCGGTGTATGTGAGAGCCTTATTACACATTATACACATGTTCACAGTTTCATCTTAATGGAGTCATTGACAGTCGTTTACACATGTATATATTCTTCTTTCCTTGCACCCTGAAAGTGTTAATGAATAAGTGTCACTAAGTATTTGAAAGCCAAGTGTCGCTATTTTTAACTCTCCTGTGCTCTGCTATTCTTGCAGTAAAAACAAGGTTGAGTTTTCATGTGATCAACTGTAAATCTGCTTTGTGGTCTAGTGTGTCCATTATAAATCAAAACTAGATGAGTACATGAAGTGAAAATATGTCTATTTAAAGTGTCTAGTAGCGATTTCTGCTTAACCTCCACTGTAACATCGACACACAGTTATTAAAGGAAAAGTCTATTTATTTGTACGAATGTGATTACTAATAACTAGTGAAAAGTCAGAGTTGCTCTATTTTGACACCACACCTGACTTTTAAACCAAAATTTAGATTTTCTTCCTCACAAATTTCTGCTGGTGTGTCTGCAATTTTACATGGTTTAAGAAACCTGAGGATATTCATTCTGCATATCAGCTCAGAAAGTCTGTAAAATCCCGGTTGTAAAACGGTTTTCATCAAATGTGCACCCCATCATTTGAACAGTCACCCAAGTTTTTCAACACTGTAGCTGGAACACAGTTGTCCTCTATTGAATCTAACATGTTTACATAAAAAAAAATTATCAACCAGGATCATAAATCCAACCCACTAATTAAACCATCAACTCCTCATGAGAAAACACCTGTTGCTTCACAATTAGAAATCAAGGCTCAAGGAATCAAATGCAAAACATTGAATGTCCTCTGTACAGGTTGACATTGTGAGATATACAAGTTAAAGTCTTGTTTTCATTTGTTTTGATTTTGAGGACTTTGGGTTATAGCTTAAGAAGAAACTTTGTTTTGTCCTGCTAATGTGGTGCACACCGACCAATATATGGTTAAACTGTGAATTAAGGTTCTTTATAACCCGGCTTTCATGCTAATCACCTACCTGTGTTAAAAACTTGATTCTGGTCAAAACTCCTTCACCTCTTAAAAACGGTCATTAATTTTGAATAACCAAGCTGCAATCTCCAGTCCAAAAACAATGTTTGTCTCAATAGCTTGGGGCTCCCACAGCACCCACTTAACCGGGAGTGTATTTTTGTGTTAATTTTAGTAATTAAGGTCACAATATTAGGAGATCAAAGGTGAGGCTGACATGACTGACAGGCAAGCAAGAAAGCTAAAGGCCCGCCTTCTGGAAGGTGGACTGAAAGTTAGGTTGGGTCAGCATTTCCAATACAGTAGCTACGTTAACATGGGCACAAATAATCAGAATAAATGCCCGATAAGAATAAATATGCATCATGTAAACATGTCAATCAGAAGATTCTGATCCAATCCGGCTCAATTGGAAAGAAATTGTATTCCGATCGAGAGGGGTGGTTTATGCTGATCGTTATAACAAAACACGTCAACACTTTCTCTGATCGTGACTCTCTTACCTGACTCGGGTTTTGCTCTTAAGCCTTTGGCTTATTTATTGAGGCCAGTACAGGAGGTTTCATTATTAACACTTTGGCATAAAACACAACCGTAGGTGCCGTGCCTGCTTCTCAGGTAACATTACAAGGCGTACATATAGCGTAATAATGTCACATCTGCACGCAGAGTGCAACCTTTGACAGAACAGTGAAATAAGTACGCAAGGGTGCCATCTAGTGACAACTCCTGAATTGGATGGAATGAGCCACTACCATTTGTTGGTTTGTTGACAGCACAGGCGTAAATACAACTCTTCTTCTGCGGTTGTTTTAGTGAAGTCAGACAACTGTGCGCATGTCCAAAGGCTTCTAATCTGAATAAAGCTTGGTGCATGTATACACACGTCATGATCGGATTATTTGATTTTGCATCCATATAAACAGTGGATTCATATTATCCTCTCCCTCAAATTTTTGATCGAATCAAGACATTTCGCCCATGTAAACGTGGCTAGTGACTGCCACTGACTGGCTTCAAAATTCAGAATCAGAAATAAATGGGTGATATCACCGACACTACGCCCTGCTATTAAACAGTCTACGCGCACAGGAGAACAATGTCTGTGACAGGATCGCACACGTTTTGACAAAGCAGTCAACAAAAAATACTTCTGGCACATTTTACTTGGCAAAAAAAACTGTTTTCTGTTAGCATGCTAAATTGCAAAACTAAATCATATGAACTTTTAATATTTGATCCTCTACAACCCAGACAAGGGCAGCAGAGCTGGTGTGTGCAGCTCTGAGTTACTGAATGCACAGAATAACACAAGAGCAAAATGAAGTTAACAACTGTATTCTTAAAGATAAATAAAGTATCAAACTTGTATCCACCCACCCACATAGTTTCAAAACCCAGAGCAAAAAGACAGATTAAACTACTGCAGAAATGTGTCCTTCCTTCAATCAAACGGAGGCTGTTTTTTGTTTACCTCATCAGCGTCATGGATTTTCTTGCTTTCAGATGACAACAGTTGGTGCATTACAACAACTGGTGGCAGAAATTTGCTCCTCCTTGGAAATAGAAAAGAGGCCGTCTATTTTCAAGAACTAGTTCTAGTGACATCCTCAAATCACAAACCACTTCCTTTCTGCAGACACGCAAAAGTAACATTCAGACCAAACAGTCTCACGGTAGATCAACATGGAGCAGGAGCCACAGCTGAGGAGATCTGTAACAAACACAGGTGCCACTGATCTGCCAGGTAAGAAAGCAGTTAGAAACCAAACAAAAATTAAATCATAATCCTATTTTCTAAATCGTTTCCTCTGTTTTCTGTTAAATTTGTGTGCATGTCTCATACCTACAGGGAGGAAACTGCTCAGATTTGGGATTTTAACTTTGGGAGTTTTGTGTATCGTACAGGCAACGCTTAATGTCTCCCTGCGCCTTGCTTGTAAGTCATAACTAAGATACGCCTTGGATCACTGGAAATCCAACATTCCATAAGTCAAATGTCACAACCCTCAACATCTCCTTTTTTTTTCTTTTTAACAGTTTATTTAAAAGAAGATACAGATCAGCTCTCTATCAACATCCTGTCGATATCAGAAGTGTGTCAAATCGACCAGAATTCAACACAGACATGTTCCTGCTTCATTGACGTGCTGAAAAAACTGGTGAGGGAATACAAGGCCTTGGAAAAAGAGAGAGATCTCCTCCGTGACCAGGTGAAACAACTGACTACAAGCAAAAACCCCCAGGACGATGGGTCTGGTTACCTAGAGAATTTAGAAAGTAGTGGATACTACTGAAAGATTTGTGCTCACCATAATACTAAGTATTCTTGAAAAGTGTGGAGCTCCAGAACACAACAGCAATTTGTTAAGTTGAGTTTACTTTATTAAAAAGCTGATCAGGTAAAAACAACCAGTCAGCTAGCCACCTTGTTTACATCTGTCAATCTCGGCTTTCACCATCCTGTAACTGAAGCGTTACGGGTTTTTCATTGTGGAATCACAGATTCTCAGAGCTCCATGCTTTGATGTTATATTTTGGGGGTCACCATACAGTGATGACAAATTCAAGCTGTTAAACATGTAAATCTGTAAAGATGAGTTATATATGAGTTAAAGAGGAAGCGTTTTTGCCTGTGTTTCTTTTTTCAGTGTAACAACTTCTTGTTTACTTCTGCTTTTTTTGTCTGGCCTTTGCTTTGAAGGACCGAGAAAATCTTCATTATTCTTGTGTAAAAAAATGGCTTTACAACCAGCAGTAACAAACCACCATCAGAAAAACAATGAACAATACAAACATACTAAGCTGATTCAAAAGGCAGTGGTGACAGGAAAAAAATCAAAAATGTTCATCACTTTGAGCCCTTTTAAAGGCAGTAACAACTGAGACAGGATCTTGTTTGTCCTGCATGTTAGTAGGATGTTTCTGTTACTAAACAAGAGCTCCTTAAACAGCAGGTCCTTCAGTTCATTGAGGAGAGACTTGGTCTTTTTTAAGAGTCCTGAGATTGAATAATCTGGACACTACATTCAGAGCTTTTTCTAAGGAGTTGCTGTAATTACAGCAGAAGAAAGTGGAATATTTTGCTTTGATTGGGTTGACAGAAATCTTGCGCATGTGTAAATGAAGGGTTGTGGTTGATAGCTTGGCCATATAAACTTTTAAAACTTGTTGCACTGTCTTTATGTGGTCTAACAATCAATGAATGAAGCTCATAACAGGGATTTTATTGCAATATTGTGTGAAACTCATTGAAATATAATCTCTGTGTTTTTTTTACAGTAATGAAATTTTATGATAAAAATTCCTTTTAATCAGCCTGAGGCTGTTTCTGTTTACCTAAGCGGCTTTTTGGATTTTGTTGCTTTCAGATGTAAAGTTCTTTCCTCATTATGTTTTGACCTCATTTCCCTGTAACTGTAAGGAGAAGTGAAACTGACATAAAAATCCCTTTTTTTCTAAATAAAAACTTAACTCAGCTGTGAATCATCTCATGTCTCATTGAGGAAACATGTAGCCATCTCTTGTGTTTAAGACACCTCTTAAAAGTAGAGCAGAGTCACTCAAGTCACGTATTTGATCAGGACTTAAGGTTAAATTTAACAATGCAGTTAAAAATAAAAGTACAAAATTTAAAGAAAGAAAGTTCAACTCTGTGTCTGCCCATTGAAAAGGTCTCCTCTAATTCTTATAATTTCTACTTGAAGAGCGCTTTCTTGAATATATCCAGGCAGGTTGACATTTCTTTATATAAATTATGAAATAAGGGTTCTGTTATTTTCTCGCTTGTATCAAAGGGCCCCTGCATTATATGGAAAACAGTTCTCATGATGTGGTACTCACGGGTCAGAACTTTCCTGAGATCACCATGTATTTCATTGCTGATAAGTTTGTCAAAATTAAACTGACGGGAATGGGAGCTGCGACACATTCACTCATCATTTTTCATTAACACTGCTGCCTTTGTTTTAATTAGCCACTGTGACTGACACCTGTGTTCTGGTGACACTGAATTCCTTGTTCGCATTATCCTCCTTCACAGCTGTTTCATGTCAATCATCCCAAAGTTGTCTCTATCTCTGAAAATAGAAGCACATGTGTGAAGCTGTCAGAGCGGTTTGGCGGCCCTCAGTGGCACTAAAGGATCAACGTTATATATTTTTCTCATCGCACAGACAATGTAGGCTGAAACCAGTGAAAATGCTGTCTTTGAGCACAATAGTAATACACAATAATGAATCTATTCATATAGTGCTTTGACTTAATCATAAAAGTAGACACAAAAACAAAACATATGGACACAACAGCAAAAAAACACTCAACCGAAGATAATCCAAACAGCAAAGACCCAACAACACTGAGATGTTGAGATTAATAAATTAAAAGATATAAAAAATAAAATAAAATGTGGAAAAAGAATAAAAGAGACCAGATTGGTTTAAAAAAATAATATTGTGAAAAATAGAAGCAATAAAATAGGAGGGCACGAGGGTACAGCAGAAGAGGTGCCCCATGTACAGAGGCTGTAGTCCTTATTGGACTGATTGTAAGATCAGTTCTTGGATCCTCCACCTCTCTTTCTTCAAGCTTTCCCATAAATAAAAGCAAAAAGCCCCCCAAAATAATCTTTGGAATGAAATAAATAAAAACCATAGAAGGCATTAAAGCCTAAAAAGAACATATGAACAATAAAAAGGGTCAAGAGCAACAACAACAGATAGAGGAAAGCGCCCTATTTGGTGGGTACTTCCATACAGCACCACAGCTGCTTCAGATTTTTAAGTGTTTTCCTTATTAAAAAATGGGCATTCCCTCTGCTTCTTAGAGTAGAGGATGTAGCTTCTATGGTCCATGATTTCTAATGTCAGATTTTGATTTGTCAAACCATAAGACAGTTTTCCACTTTGCCTCTGTTCATTTTGGGCTCAGAGAAGTTGCTGCCGTTTCCATGTCATGGCAGTATATAATTTCTTCTCTGCATTAACCAACATCCGTGGGGGTAGCAGCAAACTGTGTTCACAGACACTACTTTTTAGATATGATTTTAGACCAATGCAGAGACATGTCTGTTTTTAAGTCAGTGCTGCCTGAGGGCCTGAAGATCATGGCCATCCAGTACAGGTTTTCTCTGAGGGTTTGATTGATCTCATGTACCTTAGATGATGAATTCACCAAATTCTTTGCAATTTTAAACTGAGAAACATTATTTTTACATGGTTGAACCAGTTTCTCACTGAGTCTCTCACAGAATGTTGAATCTCTTCCTATCTTTAAATCTAAGTGACTCAGCCTCTCTGAAATGTTTCTCCAGATTTTTTTAGCATCAAACAGGGGTTTATTGATCAATTCAGTCACTAATAATACTGTATGAGCGGTGTTGTCAGTTGTTTTCTAAATTTTTTAATGAACTTGAAACAAACCAAACCACAGTTAAAAATAGATATCCATAAAAAATATTAATTACAGTTACAATTGGCAAATTTTCTTTTGGGGAAATACTAAAGATCATTATAGTCTGATATTTAGCAGTAAAAATACTGTATTTCAAATATTAAAATGAACTTAATTAATGTATGCATAATCATTGATAAACCATGATCATTACTCTGGCTTTAACTGTACCTACAAAACCTGATATTGCTCCATCCCTATACTCAACACAGCTCTTTTCATCATCTTTGCTCACAGGATCAAGGTAAGTGGCAATTTCAAAGGCTTCATGTGCTGTTAAATGAAAAAAGTCTCTTCCTCATGGATCAGTGTAGCTTTTCCACTTGTTTTCAGATATGTTGGGTGCTGTAGCCAATCCCGTTAGCACTTCTTTTCTCTTGGATTGCCTTTAAACCGATCCTTTCACCTCTTGAGTCCTTCCTTGGTTCCTTGTTATACCAAACACATTGTCAACTTGGTACTTGGACCAAAGACAGATGGGCAAGCTGACAGCTGTTCCTCAGGCAGCGACGAAATGGACTTAGTCCCCCAAAAAACTAGAAGAGGCCCCAGATGCAGGGCATGTTACCGGCCAATTGACTGAAATCCCCCCACTCACCAGCTTGGTACAACTTGAAGCTGTGTCTCAGTATAAACACAGGCCATGACAGATTTCAGACTCTGTTCCTGTGTCAATACAGCGGGCTGACTGTTGACTGACTGACTCTCAGTCCCTCTGAGGTGGAAGAGAGCGCCTGCAGATGGTCAAACATTTTGAAATAATACAGGAGAGTCATAATTAAAATACCAGTGGCAGGACTGTGCGTATCCTAGCGTGCTCAGCACATGCACATGCAAACACAGAGCCACATGTACTGTACAAACAAGTGCTGCGTAACTGTGGTGGGAATAGCAGGTCAAACACACTGGGGTTATGAGTGATAAAGGTGGGTGTGTATCATAGCTTGTGTGCATGTGAGGTGGTGGGGGCACTTTTAGACTAATAACCCAGCATCAAAGAGTCTATGAAAATAACTCATGTACGTCATATTCGATGATTCATGGAGTAATGCAGAGCTTAAACCAATTGATCGAGATCTAACCAGCGGCTCGACAAATCTTGCTCCCTGTTTTTGCTCATATTCAATTAAAAAAAAAGAAAGACAGGCATGTCAAGCTTCTTATTTGTCTATATGCTCAAGTCAATGTGTGACCCCCACACAGTGACTTAAATATGTACAGTGCTCCTCTCTTTTTTTCCTGAATTATCAGCAGAAAGATGTAACCAAACAAACTGACTGATTCTTTAACTGGGCTCTGATGAGGAGAGATGATTGAAAATTAAAGCTGCAGCTGAGTGAACACTACTGTAACTTGCCTCATTATGTTTATTTACTCAACACCAGCAGTGATTTATGGATGAAAGTGTATTCAACTTTTCCTTTGATGCAAGAAAAGCCACACAGGTTTGGGTTTTTATTTTTTTAACTAACACACAAGACTATCTCTCCAAAAAGGCAACCACTTGACACTCTGCAGTCCTTGAAAAAAAGTTACGTTAAGGTCGTTAGATTAACGTTGTTGTTATTTTTTGACATATCACAGACCTTAATAAAAAAAAAACAAAGAAATTCCTGCCCAGCATCAAATATATGGAAAATCGCTCTAAATTCGTTTTTTCGCCATCAAAAATAACAGTGACGTCATGTAATCAAACTGGCATTTTAAGGGGTGGAAAAAAATATTAATGTATAGTATTTTTATAGCTCCATCTAAGGACCTTAACGTATCGTGTTTTTGTCACAAAGGGAATATTGACCTGATGTAATAATTGGTGGTCATGTTTTAAAATTCGGAAAGAAAAAAAAAAACCCAGAAAAAAATCATCCCATTTGCATGAACACAGCCAAAATGATCAACAAATGAAAGTTAAAAAGTCAACAAAAATGGACAAAAGAGCCCCTGAAGGTTAAAGGAAGACTACAACAGATGAATTAAAACTATTTCTCAAATTATAACCGAACACTTCTTTAAAAAGCTTTATAAACTGTTGGCAAAGTATTCCTAAAACAGATATCCGAAAAATCCTGAAACGGTACAAACCAAATTACTACAGGTATTGTGGAAAAATAATGATTCTGATGCACACAGATGACAACTTAATAAGACTGCCAGGGATGTGACTGGATTTCTATCATTCAAAGTGAGTGCAGGGAGATTTCTTCACTCCAACAAAAAATAAATAAATAAATAAAACACACACAAAAAAAAACCTGTTTCTGCTTCCTCTCTTTTCTAAATGTCAAAACATTGTAGCAGAATTGTAATTGGACCATTTGTGGCCCTGCCCTGCCTCTGATGCTTGTGTAATTGTAAGTTGTAGACAGTGGAGGATATGCCACACCAAGCTTAATGAACAAAATGGGATCTCTCTGTAGAATGGAAGTACAGCAGGCATGGTCAAAGTTCAACGCCAGCCTTTCAGCAGCTAATTGGCTGAGCTTGTGTTCTCTCCCAGAAGGTCCTATCATCAGAGGCTTCAGCTTCCTGCTTTTAGCTGTTTTCTGTGACAGCTTAGAGCCAGAAACTGACCCACATCTACAGGCAGACTACTCAGAACAAACTAAAAGGGAGAACTACGTTACTTTCCTGCCTTTTGGTTAGGCACTGACATTTGAAATGTGTACGAATACACATTCAAAATATTTTAAGCTTTATCTGCTAAGCAAGGATTAATAACTGGTGATATAAAGGGTCAAAATGGAGGACCAACTTTCCTAAATAAACTTTAACTCTGATTCTCCCCCCTGGTACAAAACCTGCAAAAGTGAAGGCTTGAATTTAAGTTGTAAGATGGCCACCGCGGCTCCAGAAGACCACAAGAAAAACACATATAGCACAAACACACTAGTGGCTTAATCTTGGCTTTTGTTGGACTCTTTCTGTCTTCACTGAATGAAAAATCAGGAGCTGACAAGAGGTGCAGAGCTAATCTTCCTGCAGTCAGGTTGCAGAGAAAAAGAACAGATAAGACTGGGGTACAGATAAGGCCGGGG